GACTATACAAAAGAGAAACTTCTGAAGTTTTAAGAAAACAAACCTGCCTTTGCTTTGTTCCGGATGATGAATGGGCTCTTCAGGTTTAGGGCGGGCCCTTTTCTCACATTCAGTCTTTATTAAAGTGTCATAGGTAACTCTGATTGAAACAACTGCTCTATTCTCTTTTTACATTTTTCTACATACGTGATCTTGCAAAAACTGATGAAAGTAAGTTAAGAACCCTTGTAAACTGTTCCATTTCTACCCATTTCCTTGCTACGGTTTTTGATTGATAGATTTTAATGCAGCAGCAGTGTTTTCTGAGGAAGGATTACAATGCACAAATCACAGCCACCATGACTGAAGTGAACCGCAGCGGATCTGTGGTGATCACGGGTGTCTTTCAGACACAGAGTAGAAGCAGAATAAGTATTTGTTGGAGGAATACAATGCATGAGTGCAGTGCGTCTAAATTTTCTTTAGGGACATTTTTAAGGCAGGCAAAGGATTTTAATTTTATTCCACTGAGGTAGTTTGACCCATGACCCTAAAGCCTAATGGTGAAGCTTCTTTCTGTTCAGGATTTACGAGACCGCCTCTGGGACATCTGCGATGCCCGGAAGGAAGAGGCGGAGCAGGAGCGTCTGGACATCATTAACAAGAGCTGGTTCCAGGATTCCACCGGAATAACGATGAACCATTTCTTCTCCCTGATGCAGGTAAGAGCGCCGGTCACAATGACACAGACTCTTCCCTCCACAGCCACGTCATTCCTTGTGCAACGATTGCTTTGGGAAGTTAAGGGGTCTGTTCAGGGCTGATTTTACTCACAGCACTCTGCCAGCCCTGAGCTCCAGCTTGCCCAGGAAGTTAGCTGAAATAAATGATTTTGGCCCCTGCCAAACAAGCACCAGAATTGGGAGCATCTCAAGCCATCATTCATCAGCTCTACTTCCAGGTGGCCTAGAGGTGTGGAGGGTAACCCAGAGATGATGTCTCTACTGGTTGTTACCTGGTCAGCCTCTCATAGCAGACACCCAAGGTGACCAGCTGAAGCCCAGGAAAGCATCCCTGCCACAAAGCATGGGCTAGATCAGACTCAGCAAGCATTTGACTCAAGAAAAAAGTATATGTCTGAATTGGAAAAGCAGCCCACTCATTAGAACAATCTGATTAACTTATATTGCAGCCTGTTAAATAGAAAATCACTCTGGACAGAAAGACCAGCATTAATTTTATTCCAAAACTACTATTAATAATAAGGGAGAAAACGCAGACCAAGCATGGATACCCAGCTCTGCCAAGATAAGTATGGAGAGTTTTTAAGAGCTGGAATAGGGGTGAGGGGCAAGTAATAGGACATCTGTGTTTTCTCATTGGCCTTGCTGAAAAGGAGAGTAAATGTTTTCCAATCTTCATGACAAGAGGGAGTTTACCACTTGGACAAGTCACCCTCCAAAGCTAGGGGAAGAGCTTAGAGAGAAGGGGGCTCTCTTCTTGATCAAAGAGATGGTTCCCAGGTCCCAGAGAAAAATAGTTCTGGGTCCTAAAACTGGAAAGAAGCTCTTTAAAAGACTTACATCTCAAAGACACAGAGAAATGATTTACAAGTTTTCCACAGTCAATGGTCTAAGAACAGGGAGGTCAGGAGCCTAGAATTAGGAAGAGAACTGTCTGAAATTTAGTCAAGCTGAGGGGAATATAAAGGCTGTCATGGTCAAGTCATGTCTACATGAGTATTTTTTCATAAGAGAATAACATTAAGGATGGAGAATGGAAAGGGGGACATTTCTAGTTTTAAGCTGATTAACTTACATGAGCAGCTCCTGCAGGAAATGAGAATATTTAATTGACAATCACCAGAGCTAGCATATAGTAGGTGTTCCATAAATGCTTGTTCAATAAATGACCGTGAATGCTAGTACTTTCAAGTTTCACAGGGACACACCAGTGACAGATTTAGACCACAGGAGGCCTGAAAAGTCATCAGAGGCCTGAGAGGCAGGAACAGCCTCATCAATTACTAACTCTGGGATCCAGATGGGAGCTACAAGACGTAGATTGTGCAAAGGATTAAAGTGAGACACCCAAGCAGCCAAAACCAGTCTGGGTAGCATCCCAGGACACCAGTTTAGGCAAGCAGAGATTGCATGTTGGAACAGGTGTGTCAAAAGCTTATAGCAGAAATAACTGAAATCCAATAGTGCACGTAAAAGTAATAGAGAGTTTTTGTGAATCATTAGTCTAAGCAATACATACCTCTTTTGGAAATGGTATAACTCTTACAGCTCAACAATACCTATATTTAAGTCTCACACCCTGAGAAACTGAATCTACATCCAAACCAACTAGGAGAAAAGAAGGTAACAGCTTATAGGACAAGTTTTCTACAAAATAAATTTTAGAAAATGCTATTCTAGATTATTTCTAAGATTCCTTTCAAAACTAAGATTTTCATGACAAAAATAATCAGAAAGCATTGTTTAACTAGGTATCGTAAACACGAGCAGAATCTTGATCGATTCTGCTTATCTGAGAATATTAGACATAGAATGACATCTTATTCATAGTTAGCTATATATGAATCAAATTATGCCCCTTAATCTTTTATATAAAATAATATAACGAGGTCTCAAGTACCTATTGTATAAAATAAGATCTACTGAACTTAATCATAAAGAGTTCAGTTCTCTAAGTTAAGGAGGAAATAATTTCCTGATTTTTAAAGTTACTTGCCAAATAATGTAAAGCTATAATTTAATGACAATAATTTTTTATAACCTTGCAACACATTCCTTCAATTTCTCAAAGTTATTCATCAATATCCAATTTGTACAAATTGAGTTTACATTTGCATGTGACTAATTTTAAGTGTGATATTGTACAGGTTCTCATGAATATAGTTTACAAGACTCATTTTCTCTCTACTGCTTTACCAAATTTAAGCACAACAGGTACACACACTTACTGTCAGACTATGAAATTAGTTCACATATGAATGTTTTAAAATTCAACTTGTTTCTTTAGTCAAGGAAAGAGAAAAATGTTTACTTTTTCTAATCATTTCAAAAAGCTAGTTTGAAAAATTATTTAAATATATATACTTATGTTTAAAACCCAAGTAGAGTATTTAAATATGTTCCATAATTTTTAATAATATGAGAATGGTAATCTTACTGTATAACATAGTTTCAAATTAACCAAATAGATTTTTTTCTGTTTCATTCATTTAGCTAGAAAAGTTTAATAATGCAGAAAATAGCTTTTCAGGAGCAATTTGGCATAGCTTTTCAATATCAAAACAAATTTATTGAAACGATTCTTGTTGTTTGCAGACTACAGTGCAAAGCAGACATTTATTTGTTCCAAACGGTGACTACGACAATACAAGACTATTTTGTAATGTTTTATAAAATAAATAGCAATGGTAATTGCTTGATAAATATAAGGATCCCTTCATAAATACCCTTGGGTTAGGTTTAGCTAAGGGCTTTGAACACTAGGTAAATTTCATTCTCTTTAGGAAAGATGCTTTCTGTAATTAACTAGCTATGATGGAATACACTGAATAAGAGCTTCAGTCTTTAAGCCCTCAGGTATTGGTTTAAGTACACCCACTAACTAAAGCAAAGTCTGGAGGTCACATTTACACAGCCAAAGAGAAGCACGGATATGACAGCTCGTCTGACACCTAATGAGAGAACAGGTTGGAAAACTCATGGTCTACAATTATGTATTTGGAACTGTGCAGGGTCTCACTACATGTGTGTTTCATCGTTACTGCAAAAGGAAATGACGTGGCTGGCACGGAGTCACTTGTGAATAACTGATGCCACCTTGCCACCAGCTCCTCAAGGCACCTACTGGCAAAGCCAGCAGAGGGGTTTCACTGTGAGCATAGGAGTGACCTCCCTACCTTACATACTGAGCAAGAATGGAAACTAAAAAGAAAACACTCCCTCATCTCTTTACCTTACTTTTTGTCGTTTCTCCATAACTAGAGAACCAAAACCTAGTCTTATTTTGTATTTCAGTTTATGGTATTTGCATCTGTATCTGTATGTTTTATGTATATGTATAATATTTTGGTATCTCAAATTAACTAACATGTTACCTCTGACAGAAGACACTCAAATGTTTGTTAATGTATTAGTTGATGGGGAGACAGGAAGAATTCTTAATGTCAAAATAGTAATTTATACTACTTCAGACATCATACAATCTTTTGTCACAATATTGAGAGACATAGAAATGTCAACTTATTAAGTGAAATCATACTCAATGAGTACAGAGAACACAAAGTCACCAGTTTTCTTTAATTTTTATGAAATTTTACATATATACCTATAGCTAATTCTCTTTCTTAATCTCCAGAAAATTGACTTCAACATAAATGTTTTAAAATAGTGCTCACAGAGCTTAATGGAAAATATATACAGATCAGTTTGTTTTTTGTTGGGTATTAACATTCATATTTGCTGTTAAAGGCAGAGCTGAACCGTTTCCAAGATACAAAGAGACTCCTTCAAGATTATTACAGGGGAATGGAATGCAAAATCCCAACAGAGGAGACTAAGAGATTTACTCGCATCCCATTGGTCCAACTGGATAGTAAAGACATTTTGGAAAACCAAGTTAGGTAAGGCAAGCTATCGTGTTGCACTGTAATTGGTCTGAACATAAAGCTTTGTGATTTTATATTGAATTCCACTAATAAAAGCCACATGCCTGTAAATACAAATCCAAAATTCAACAAAAGCTCTAAAAACTGAACATTTTTTCTAACTTTGACTTAAGACTATTGATATGCATTATTTGTTCCACTTATAGTGAATATTTACTCATTCGTGCTACAGAGTTATAGAGTGTATTGTTATGGAGTGCTTCCAACAGATTCTGCCGGGGATATTCGAGAGTATACAGTACATATGAATTCTGAATTCTGAAATACTATTGACCCCACAAGTTTCCAGTAAGGGATTGTGAACCTCTACCACTAATGAAAAGTCCCAAGCCGTTGTGTGTGTGTGTGTGTGCACGTTGCATCATGTAAATGAAAATGGAAGGGGGTTATGAGGCTTTCGCAGGTAAGGAAGTTGAGAAATAGTAACAACTTAGTCACATGAGACCAAAAGACTTATTAATAGTCTAACTTCAGATTCCTGCCAGCAAGAAAATTAACTTGGTGGTAAGGGTGGGACAAAAATTTTATTTTTAGCCAAAAAATAAAACTCAGAATTCTTAAAAATTATATGAATTAATAAATAATTTACTAAAATAGAATTAAGAATTAAAGTAATATTTTTTCATGACTGGTAAGCACATTGAGAGAAAATAAGAAACTGTAGATATGATGAGGGGAAAAGAAGTTATGTTTTAAAAATAATATACAAGCACTAAACATTAAATTTAAATTTCCAAGGAAATATGTTATGTATTATAGATTGAAATAGTGTATGTACCTTATTTTTCAAGCATACTCAGTCGATATATGTAGCAGGGGTTGCTCAAACTAAATGTGGGGTGGTGAATATGTTTTGAAGTCAGATAGATCTAGTTTCAATCCTGGGTCTGTTATTTACTAGCTATATGTAAATAAAATAAGACAAAATTTACTGTTTTGGAATGCCACCCCAACGCTCTCAAGCCTTGATTTTCTTATCTGTAAAGTAGGGTTGTTGTGAAGATCAAAGAAAATGAAACCCTCAGAGCACTTAGTACCATGTTTGGGAATCAGAAGACTTGAGACAGTCCCAATGATTCTCATAAGTGGTGACTATTATTGTTATTGCATAATGTGACAATAAACTATTCTTTCTTACATGCACTGTTTTAATTGTATGGCATGTTCTTGCTTTTTTTTTTTCCCTCCCTGATTGCAGACAGAATTTGAAATGTCCTGAGCACGAAAGGGTTAAACAGTGATCTGAGGCCCATTTCTTCTCTCTAGACCCCTGCCATCTAGTCCCATTGTGTCCCTGTCAGGCCCAGGTGTCAACAAGAAAACACAGGAAGGAAAGTTTATACTCTCTTCCTGATACAAATACAAGAGAAATGTTTAACTCAGCAAGCTACTGAAAGAGAACTTTGAAATTAAAAACAATGAACAATTCCAAAGGCAATACGAACCATCAGAACCATCAAAAGAGGCCAGATTTCAATGTCTACAGTAGCAGCGCATTCTGTTCTTAGCACAAAATAACAAGTCAGGCATAATGGGGATGCTATTAATGTTAGTTAGAAGAATGAGGCAGGCAAAAGAACAGCCAGTTCTTATTTTCTGCAGAACAACTCTGCACCAATCTTAACCTCAAATCACTTCTGTAAGTATCTACAAGAACTCTCAATCAGTGTATCAACCAACCCACCAACCACCACAGTCTAACATAAGGAAAGAAGCAGTGTCAAGCATTTGCACAAAGCTTGTCAATTTTATTCCTTCAACAACCTAATAATAATAATAATTAAAAATTAGTTAACTAATAATAATTACTAACAATTAGTAACAATAATATTGATACAATTATTGTTGTATTTGTATTATTCCAAGAGGAACGGAGCCTCAGAAAGTCAAGTGGCATGCCCCAGTTCACATCTACTGATAGGCAGAGCTAGCTAGACCGGAGTTATTTCCCAGGAAATGAATCCTAACCCGAAATTCATTTTCTAACCAATAGGCCACCACCACTGCTGTGCTCCAAAGCAAGATGTTGGAAAATGCATGTTGTGCTATATTAAACATTTAGAGACGATCCCACAACCGTGTGTCTGAGACTGAGATTTATTTAGCATTACTTGATTATTGAGTGTAAATTGTCCTTGTGAGTGGACGTGCACGGAGTAGTAGATCCTCAACACGTTGCCTTTATAGGCACTGTAAACGGTCAGAATTCCAAGCACTCTAAGAATCAAAGAGCCAAGTTCAAGAAATCTCATCTGATGCTTCAAAACAAGGCCAGCTAATTGTCTGCTAGGGTTCAGTCAGCTTTCTGAATCATTGCTCTGCTTCCCAGCAGCGTGAGTCTGCCAAACCAAACGCCTGCTCCTATTATTGCTCCTGACTCTTATCCACCAGCGTCTGCAAAGGCGTCTTCAGAGCTCCTCTCTCCCCACTCCTCACCAAGCTGAAAGTTTTCGCACTTTCTATCACAGAGGTGGATCCCAGTCACAAAGAGCATCCTGCTCTGTTGATCTCTCCTGCCTCGGTTAGCCTTCCAGGTCCCGGGATCCTTAGGGGCTAGAATGTTCTCAGGGCAGCTCTGAAATCTCTACATGGAGAAGCCATATGGTTGAGAGAAAGGGGAGGGAGAGTTTAACTTTGTGTTCTCACAGCACTTTACAAAACAAAGAGACAGGCTTCATCAACCATATATTCAAGGATGGGGAGGCTGCTGGAGCTCTTTCATACCCACAACCAGCAGAACATCTTTGCCTAACTGGGACATCCCTTTGCAGACCTCATATCTGTCACGTCCTGGTTTTTAACTGTTCATTTCGAGAAGCCAAAGACTAGTCATCTTAAAGAAGTGATACCCAGATCTATGTGGTGTGCTTTTCTATGACTGATTTCCTACTTGTCTGAAGTTTGTGCCCTGGATAAATTTTAAAATTGCATTTCTTCATAATTGCCATTGTTTAATCCTCCTCCTCACAATTACTGAGAATGAAACCTGAAAATTCTGTTTTATCATTGTTTGTTTCTAGTTTCCCCTTGTTTATAAGATGTTCTAGACCCCCCAAATTTGAATGCAGTCTTTTAAAGTCTTTTCTTCGTTTAAAGAGTTCTTCCAGGAAAACTTTGAAAATTGAGATTAAAGCAAGATAACAAAATTCACAAGGTAACATGGTCATGAAAATAGAGTTCTGTTAAACAAAATTTTTATAAATTTTTGTTTGTTTGTTTTCCAAAGAATTCCTCTAGTTTCTCGAATATCTATTTCTCCGGATTCAGCTACATCCAGATCAAAACCAAAAACCATACTGAAAGGCAAGATCGATTACTCGCTAGAAAAAGTAGAGTCGAACTTTGAGGCAGATGAGAAGTTGGTGATGGACACCTGGCAGCAGGCTTCTTTAGCAGTATCCCACATGGTAAGCTGTGATTGTTATTATATTTTCTTTCAGTAATAACCATTGGTTCGTTAAGTACCAATGTTGATAATATGCTATGAATAAAAAATTTACACGATGTTTGCAAACGTTGTATAAATTTATACCTCCCATTTTTTTTTCTGAAGGAAATAGAAAGTGAAACAATTCAAACAGCAAATATATGAGATCAAGAAAGGTGTGAATCAATATTTATATTATTTTCCATGTTGAGACAAGCAAGGTTCCAAATGCAGGGGTCTAAGGGCCAATCAGAAAATGGCAATGAGGCAAGTCAAGTATAAGGCAATAAGGAGGGGTAGGACTGTGGCCAAGAAGCAATCACACCCCCTGTCTAAAGAGGTATATCCTACTTGGCCCTAGCCAACTTTGCCATTTGAGAATTTTAGAAGATTTTCTAATTTTACAAGAAAAGCCAGAAATTCAGATTTTCATGTCAAATCTGCTGATTTTAACATGTTAGAAATGAAATCAAATTTTTAAAAAATTACGGAGCCAAGCAAAACATACATATACCCTACAGGCCTTTAGTTTAAAACCTCTCCTAGGCATTTTACATAAGTCACCTATGGGGTAAGTATTACCAAGATGATCCAGATGAATAAAAAAGGTTAATAGATTTTCAAAGAATATGTTATTCATAAGAATATGGTAATGCTCCTCCATTATCAACTCAAGAGGAGAATGAGATAGTGCGATGACCTCCAGCAGCCAGCGTAAAATTTTAAATATTTGATGTAGAGGCCCAGGACTCCATAGCTTGGCTGGTACCACCTGGTACCCTCTCATAAACCGACTAGATATTGCCTCCTGCATATTCCATGGGCATTAACCATTTCAACACTTTGGCTAATGCCATTCTCTCTCGTAAATTATCCTCTTCCTTCCATTTGCTTAAATCCTGTACTTTCTTAAATTCTTCAGAACCATTTCCGACCTTGATTCCTAACCAGTTGGTTGCCTGTTTTCCTGAAGCACTAGGCTTCTGTGATCCTACGCTTTGCCAATCCTTGTACCAGTTATCGTCTCTCCCACTCATTTGGCTCTTCTTATATAGATTATTAGTTGTAATTTTTATTTTGTTGGTTATTTTCCTAAATACATAACTAGATTATAAAACTCTTTATATACCTTGCACCTAGTATAACGTCCAAATTTAATGTAACACTAAGTCCCCAAAACAGTCTTCAGATGTCACTGCTACCACACTGATGACACTGCTGTTAATATTAGTGCCGGTGGCAATGACGGTGATGATCCCTGTGAAGACCACAACAGCTACTAAGCACCAGGCAGTGGGGAACCAGATCTTGGAATTCAAGAAAAAAATACAAATTATTCTTTTTATTGCCAATCGAGCTACCTAAACATGATTTACAAGTCTTGTGAGCCACATTAAAATTACCTGGGGGAAATGACATTTTAAAATATGATGTGCAGACATTTAAAATTTCTAACACGTTCTCAGAAACAGAATATCTATAATACAACACAATGAGCACTGGCTGTCCCTCTTAATTAAGCCGTATGATTTTAGAAAAAAGATGAGTCTTCAATTCAATTCCTTATCTGTAACATGGAAGGCATTCTACCTACCTTTCCTTTCTCGCATGGTCGAAAAGATTTAATAAAATATGAAAGTGTTTGAGAAATTATAAATAAAATAGATCATTATGCTAAGAAATTCATTCAAAATGGTACTATTTTCCTCATGAACCTTTAAAAACCACATAGAAAATATAGGAGAAAGGATTGTTTAGTAATTACTATTACTTGTAATTGTATCCGAATCCTGCTTTTATATTTCTAATAGACTTTTATGACTTGGAGGCCGCATGACCTTCAGGAATATTTTGAGTTCCAAATGAGATATGCGTGATTCAGTAAATGGTTGCAGAGACAATACCAGCTGAGATTAGTGCAGCTGCAATGCAAACACTTTTACACAGGCTTTCTTCCACACGGCAGGGTACCAGGAATAACTATTTACTATGCTATGTTAATTTTTAGCAAACCTTTCTTGTAATTAGCAAGTACGCAATGATTTCAAAGAAACAAGTCATATTTAACACCCAGAATGTCAAGGTATTATTTCCAGAGTTTCTTCAGTCTTACAGGTTGGATTGCTAGAAGTATTGTGAATTATATTAAATTTTTTTTTTTGAGAAAGGTCCAAAGGTCTTTGAAGGAAAGTAGACGGAAAAATGTAGATGACGGTAATTATCATCATCATCATCACCAACACAAGGTTGTTTAGAAGGGAGAAAAATCCAATTTCAAAGGAAATTGCTAACTTACCATACTTTGCAAGAACAGATTCAAAAGTGAATTGCTTTCAATTTAGGGGAGAACATTAACAAGTCTGCTTTCAGCTTTACCAAGAATTTGGAAGTACAGTATATATCATGAAATCCATTTTTATCAAAAGAGCATCTGATTAAAAAAACAACACAATACTGGCTTGATCTCTAAAACCGATCCATAATCCCTCCAAGTTTCTGCTGATATTGAAGAAGCCATGGGTGTATTCTATGGAATACGATTATTTTAAAAGAAAGTCCATCAATGGATCAGCATTTCCTGGGCATCCCCTGTGAGCACAGCATGGTGCCAACAGCTATGGAGAACACCAAGAAGTAGAACCAGCTCGGCTCATGGGAGCCTCAAAGCCCTTTTGGAGGGTAGATTGATGCTTAACACTCACAGAACAGCTGGGGACGATCACATGCTGAGCCGTGGGGTAGCAATAAATTGGAGAAGGCAAGAATCAGCTGGTCTATCCTGCCCCCTCCAACACTAAGCTTCTTTGAGGGCAGACATTGTGCCTTTTTTGGTTCACTTCAACCCAGCTCCCTCTTTCTCCTCCTAGCCCCTTCCTCAGTTCTCCCCAGAAATGATATCAGCTTGGACACGGTAAGCACTTAAATAAGTAAGTAAGTAAGTAAGTAAGTAAGTAAGTAAATAAATGAATGAATGAATGAATGAATAAATAAATAAATTAAATAAATAAATTCGCGTGGACCGCCGTTTCCTCGGCAGTCGCCTTACTGAGATTTTAAAGTTTTGAGCCATATGTGGCTCCTGCCTCCAGAGCGTGTGGAGCTTTTCCCTCTTCCTTTTGGGAGTCTTTTCTCAGCTCTCATTTCTTAGGGTACAGCCATAAATACCCTTCACCTCTCCAGGGACAGGGGAACTTAATGCAAAAGATCCAATCTTTCTATCGCCATGATCCCAGCTGCACAAGCCTCAAGACAAGGTTTTTCTGCTGCCCTGAAGCACAGAGCCAGCCTCAGAGAAGAGCTAGAGAGATCCTAGCAGTACCCTGGCCCTCCCCATTCACTGGCTGTTATGGGGTGGCCACACAACCAATCCCTCAAACCAGGATACGTGTGAGAATGAAATGAAGGAGTTTCTGAGATGGAAAGAAGCTCAAAGTCCCCTGAGTTGAGGAAGCTAAGAAGCAACAACGAGGTTGGCCTGCAGGACAGGTCACCTTCCCAAACACTGCACCTCCCAGGGATGACGTCCAGTGCTAGAGCACAATGGAAGCCCAGGATTCGAGTGTCCGGAGCCCAGTTAATGTAGGGCATGTATTCCCAAAACTTGTTCAGGGAGCATGAAAAATTCTTACCCATTTTATACATAAAGCATAGATATACATTAAATACACACACAAAAAAGATACAATCTATTCTGCAGCATTAAAACTTCATGGAGGGGGATGTGATTGGGAGAAACTGTCTTAAGAACTCCATAGGGAGTCAGTAATGAAAAAAAAAAAAAAGACCGAAAAACGTTGATACAGGGGAATGCCACAGATTGAAGGTCAAGAGATGACAGGAACTTGGAAGAACGGGGGCTATAAAATCCATAGGGTCTGAGATTTAAAAGAAAGGAATATTTATATAACCACGGATCTGTCACAGTCTGGAGGTGGCACCGAGGAAACATAGGGTCCATTCATCGCAAGCAGGGCTTGAAAAAGTGAGCAGCCTCCACACTGATGGCCATGGGGAAGCCGCATCTTGGGACAGAGCCAGGTTTCTATTTCGGTCAAATATCAAAGTGCGTGTTCTGTAAAGAAAATGCATGGCATGGTTGTTTGCAGTGGAATGAGGTTTCAGTGGAGTTGCGTGAGGAGTAAATCCAAATGGTTATCGTGTTTCATAGACATTGCCTTAACTGAAATACTGCTCTTTATACAACCAGGTGGCTGCTGAAATTCATCAGAGGCTCCTGGAAGAAGAAAAAGAAAACCAGCCAGCAGAAACAAAAGAAAAGTCTCCCCAGATGAGTGCAAATAAAAAAGCCAAAAAGGAACAAGCTAAGAAAAAAAAGGAGGACAAAAAAGAAAAAGGTATTCCTGGTTTTAGCATCCAGAACAATGGATGCTTAAAACTCTCCCTGGTAGAAAACCAGCATTTCGCCAAGCACACTACTAAGCCACTGGGATTAGCACCACCATTCATCAGGTTTAACGTTGAAATCCAGACCTCTGTGAACTATGGTGTTAGTCGGCAAATCATATTGCATTCCAGTCCCACCTAACTTATTTATCCAAATAGCCAAGTGTATCCAGGGTAAGAGTAGCCTCAAAGACAGTCCTGAACATATTAAAAGAATTCCAAGATGACACTATGTAATCTGAAAAGTGTGTGCAAAGTGTCTGCTCCAGTAACAAAGAGAAGATTAAATGCTAATTGTGTATGTGTGTGTGTGTGTGTGTGTGTGTGGAAGATTAAATGCTAATTGTGTGTGTGTGTGTGTGTGTGTGTGTGTGTGTGAGAGAGAGAGAGAGAGAGAGAGAGACAGAGACAGAGAGACAGAGAGACAGAGAGACAGAGAGTTAGTTTAAAGTTTAATTTAAGGTTTAATGCAGGATTCAGGTTTTAGTCAAGCAAGTCCTTCTCTCCCGGAGGCCTCCTGCCTAAATCTCTGCCTCAGAGGCACAATGGAAAGTAAAGAGGAAGGAAAGCCCAGATTGAGAGAGAGCGCCAGTTAGCCTCAGGGATAAGCTCCCCACAAACATTATCCTCCCCTCTGATGTTTCTACTTGTACATTTTTGAAGTGACTAATGGCAAGAGAGGAAGAAATGGAGAGCATGGGCAAAAGTCACTCGACTCATCAATTGCTCATAATGTGTGTTAGGCGCCTGCTATGTGAAACGCACTATGATGGTTGCTAAGGACACAATGATAAACTTAAAAATAAAAACAGGGTCCTTGCTCTGATAGACCTGTACTCTAGCTGCAGAAATAGACATTTGACCAATCACTGCTCTTTGGTAGGGGAGGAGCAAAGTCACCTCACCCCATCTGTGAGGATAGGCAAATACCTCCCAGATGGAGGGCATTGGAGCAGCCGCGAGTAGGAGTTCAGACAAAGCCCTGATGGAAGGAGGTGGGGAGGCCAGAGTTAGGATGGTGGCACTTGAAGCAAAGGGAAGAGCAGCACCACAATAAGAATCCACTTTAGTCCATCTCAAAAAATACAAAGAAAAGATATAAGCATTATTTGAAGGAAATGCTTCAATATACTTTAATGAAGTAATTAGTTGAGTCCGATGTCTTAAATCCAGAAAGTTGAAGTTCTCTTTCATCTGTAACTTTTACATACATCCACTCTTTCAGTTAATGCATCTTATTATAATTTCTTTGTTTACGTTCATGTCTTCTTCAAAATATTTGAACCCTTCGAGGTCAAGCCTTCAATACGATTTACCGAACTAAGAAGAATTGTGTAAATTGGGTCTGCAACTAGAATCACACTGCCAAATTTCAAATACTGACAAATTTTTTTCTAATTCTCTTATGTAATCCCTGAAATAATTGTAGTTGTGTTAAAAGATAACGAAGTAAACTACAGATTCTTGACCATCAGCTACTTTTCGCCCAGGTCTTCTCGAGTTTATAATCTGGTCCTTTCTAAATGAGGACATAGGAAACACTTGGCTGATACCAGTCACCCTACATAGTGGCCCTTTCGGCAGGTGCCTAAAGGCATCCACGATGTGCTTGGGTTTGCTAATTTCTGTCCCCAGAGTCCGAATCGCAGCCTCTTTGGAGTCAGAAACCATGTCTTCACCTGCTGCGCACCTCATTTTCCCACGATGCTACACAAATGGGCCATTGTTTTGTGCGACTAGCCTAGACTCTACGTGGAGAATTCTCGAGGAAAGGCTGCAGTATTTCATCGCTCGCACTATCAGGACCAGGGTTTCTCCTTTCCAAATCACCAGGGGTTTATGGCCCTACGCAGTTCACTCTGTACTCATTTTCTCCAAGTACCACATGCGTACCCTTGCGTGTTGTAAGTTTACTGAGTGTTGTGTTGTTGCCCTTTCAGGCAAATCATCACCTGCCGTAGAAGCCGCTCCGACTCCGACGGCAGTGGTAACTGCAGAGGAGATTGCCAAAATGGAAAAGAAAAACGAACTGAGACTCAAAATAAAGGAGGAACATCTTGCTGCCCTGCAATTTGAAGGTAGCAATTGGAGAGAACTAAGATGATAATTTTCAGTAGAAAGTAGACCAGAAGGCAAACAGCCCACGCCTCCTCAAACTATGTCTGCGAGGATACGAAGCAAACAATGCAAAGGACAGCATTCAGTTAGTTGTTTCCATGTAACCACGTGAAAACTAGATTTGACTGTCGTGTAACCATGTGCTAGGATCTCAACAGGAGACAGAGTTTGGAAAGGGATTAGGAGAGCACCCGCAGTAATTAAAATCTCAAAGAATAGAAACAAAAAGAACATTTTAGAGGTGGCGTGATTTTACAAGTTGTAAGAAGGCTTGAGGGTGCCGAGGCTGGTGATTTTCTATTACAATAAGAATAATTTGGGCATTCAATAGAAAAATAAACCCGAGGCAAAGGTACACAGGCCCTGAAAGTGAGTTCTTGGGAGCAGAGGCCGTAGGAGAGCCAGCCCCAGGTCGGTGACGTTCAAGGGCCTCCTTCTCTTTGGGTAGCCACGACTCTGCAATACTGTCTCCTGGCTCTTCAAGTTGTCTTATAATGCAGTTCAAAGCAGAATTTGAAAAGATCAGGAAACAGAGAGAAAGTATTCTAATTGGAAAGAAACCATGGTCAATACATATTAGATGACAAAATCATTAAATTGCAGCTTTGGATCAGCTGGGATACTAACTATTCAATGACCATTAGCTATTAAAGCTGCTTTCCATCCCTTAGTTTTCTTCTCTCCCCCGATCCTACTACCATCTGTTTCTATAAGCCCAAGAGTATAATCTGAAGTAAGTTGAACACAGGAGGATCTGCGGGGTGAAGACAAGCAGGGCACATCTTGCCCACTGCCTGTCCTCACCTCTGCTAATTTCAGTAGCTAAGTATACTTCATCTTTTAGTTCATCCAGTACATGATCCCTACTGTGGCTGAAGTCCCTGGTTCACACAAGTGTTTACTGAGTTTCCACTTTGTGCCAGGCTCTGTAGTAGTTGCTGGAAACACACACATGTATACACAGCTGTGGCTGAAGTCCCTGGTTCACACAACAAGTGCTTACTGAGTTTCTACTTTGTGCCAGGCCTTGTAGTAGTTGCTGGAAACACACACATGTATACACAAACATAAAACAAATAAACAAATAAAACTCAGTCTGGAGGAAGAGAAATGCAAACCATCCCTTATAATATGGTGTGATATTAGAGATTGGCTTACAGGACAAACGGAGCATGAGGGAGGTCAAGAAAGAAGTCGCCCAGCAGGTGAATTAATACTTGAGCTGAACTGGAAGAACATGGAGAAGTTTGCCTAGGGGACAAATGGGACAGGGATGGGAAGGGAGAACTAGGTGACCTACAGTGAGTAGCTCAAGAGTCTTAGGCATATTCTGGGAAAAAGTGACCAGGGACATGGGAAAGCCACATCGTGAAGAGTCATGTAGACCCTGCCAAGAAAGTTACATTTTCTCTCATGGCAACTGAGAGCTAGTGAAGAATTTTGAGCAGAAGAGCAAGTGTGATGACATGTGACAGGTGAGACAGATTACTCCGGAGAGTGCGGAGGTAGATTTGGATTTGAGGTGGGGAAAGGAACTCAGAGAAAGCACGATTGAGGTGATTGTGGTAGTTTATGTGACAGATAATCTGTGCCCAGGCTAGGCCAGTGACAGTGGGAAAAGCAAAGAAAAGAGCGGAAAGATTTTTTACAAGTAAAATCCACAGACCTTATTGTGTGCCGGGCACAGCAATCGGGCCTGGGACACAGAGGCTCAACGCTAGTTTTCCCAATGCTGTCTTAAAGTTCTAAAGCAGAGAGGTCATCAGGAGACTGCTTACCCCTCCCCCTTTTGAAATTAGGAAATTACCTATTCGTGTTTTTCCATTCCAGTTTATCAAAGAGTATATTGCTGTAAAGAATGATACATGTAAATCTCAATTATAGTTTTAGTCTAAGTCAACTGACAAATGACTCTACCACACGTTATATTTTGCTTCTTAGTGAGGTGGATGGGTATTACTTATCTATATTGGTATATTAAATGTGTGACTAAAGTTTCACAAACTGAAGCATGATTGGTTTAAAATTGAATTTAGTTTGTCAGAAAATGCATGTACGTATAATACGTTTAAGAATCCTTGTTTCTCTTTTTAAATAGAGAGAGCCACACAGTTCCGACTTGAACTGATAAAGGCAAAAACATTGGCTTTCCTTGAAGATTTAGTAACAAAGTTAGTTGATATATATAAACTCATGGAAAAGTGGCTCGGTGAGAGGTACTTGAAAGAAATGGCCAGGTAAAGTACTGCCCGGCTTTTTAAAAATACACTGTTAATTCCTGAAGACCAAAATCGACAAAGATTTTTAAGGTGTATACAAATGCAAATTACACTTCCAAATAGAAATTTTGAACTTCTAGGAAATTACATGTATGTTTGTATTGACTCTTTTCAAACGGTAAATCATGTTTCAAAGGGTTGTGTTGCAATATCCAGTTTTGGACATTATTTTTAAGTTTGGTTTTTACACTGTTCAGTGAGGACCGTAGTTTACAAGATATAATTATAAGTAAGTTTTAGTAATTTTTAAGTAATTTTTCAGAAGTAAGATAATGTTTATGTTTTTCTAATCCAGACATACTATCATTCAGGGCCAATTAGTGGGAGATTAAGAAGTCAGTCACTGGATGTTTTACCAGTTAGGCTGATTCCCTTGGAAGGGTAATCGCCTGTTTTATTTTTCTGTTGGGCTCCGAAGGCTTTCCATACTCTCATTGCTCATGAGGAGCAGTGAGTCTCATCCTCTTAATTCTCTCCTAAAAGGCATAAAGAGGCATCTCAGTCGAGTAGAAATAGCCCTTAATTGAGTCAGAAGACCTGATCATCCAGGAAATGGGGGTTCTCTCATTGTCTACAAATTAGCAATCGCTTCAGCCTCCCACGTTTCCTCTATAAAAGGAAAGACTCCAGCTGGGAAATTTCACAGGTTTCTGCTAGATCTAGATTCTGTACAGTTTGCAATAAACATTTATTGAAAATTTGGAAGTTGCTACATACATAGAATACAGATGGCAAGTATTCTCAGAAGCAGCAACTGCCATCTAAGAGATGATTTTTATGGCTTGTTTTCTCCAATCCTTTTCTCATAATGAAAGTCCAGTTGTAAAATCTTCAGCCTAGTTGTTTATATCTGTTGCTTTGGAGTAAAACACACACACACACACACACACACACACACACCCTCAGCCTGGTAACCTTACCACAGTAATTCGTAAAATAATGTTACTACTGGATAGCCAACTTACTCACCAGCATCAAAGCAATGATATTCTATGCCTGTCACTTACAAATGAAGATATATCTTCTTCATTCTTAGGATTCATAGCTCCCAACCATGTGGCCATCAAATGTAAATGCTTCTTATTTTTATCAGATGTTTTACACACACACACACACACACACACACACACACACACACACACACACAATCTGACCTCTGAATGTGGCCACAAGAAGTTAAAACCTAGGACTGTTCAACTATGCTATTTGTATTGCAAAAATTTGATTGAACTTCAAAATCCTGCTTTTCATTTTCCTAACATTTTCCCCTCCTGTTCTTGATAAGGTAACTCTTCGTTACCTTCCACCAGGTGGCGCACTTATTTTGATATTCTGGTTATGGCTCCACCCAGTCTGTGTTCAGAGTCTCTCATTCACTGTTGTAAACTAAGGTCTCCAATGCCCTTCTCTTCTGCCCCCAGCACACAAACACCATCACACATAAACTTATTAGATAATGCAAACTATATGGACAGTAACAAATACAGCATGCTGGGATTGAATTCAAGGGTGTCTTTGAAAGGAAGCAACTAATATATTTTTAATTCTCAGTATGTGAATATTTTGGTGTTCCTGAGTTATGTAAGAGCAGATGAGCAGATTAAATATGCATTTTTCTACCATGTTCAATCTTTATTGCATATTGCAAGATCCAAACAAGATCCTTTCAGTAATGCAGTGATATTATACTTAGTCATGTATAAAACTACTCTGGCCTCTCAAAGGGTTTTAATTAGGGCCATAACTAGAATCCCCAGTACAGCTTAATCCTTTAATGCCCTATGTGATTTCATGTTAATAACCATGAGGTATGGAGTCGTATGTCTTTGGTTCCATTGCAAATATAAGGAAATTCGGAGAGCTCAAGTAGCTTAGCCAAGGACACATGGCTGGAATGTGTCCTGGAATGAGATCTCAGCTTCCAGTGCTTTTTCCACTGCCCCACAGTGGTTCCTAACTATTGCTGCTTGTACTTAAATTTATATATGCTTATATAAATTCGATTCGCTTTGTAAATTTATCCTGATACCAAATAAATGTGTAATTCTAACAGTCAAATTTTACAGGTTTTTTTCCTGCCATATAACCTTATTCTGGTTCATTGTTAAAATGAAATATATCTTTTAGAGACACACTCTTGCTGACATAGTAAAATATGTTCTAGTACTAATATAACCATATTTTATGATGTCTCTTTTTATTTAGCTTTGCACATAATGTGTGACTGGTAGCTCTGTTAATGAGCATGTATTTTGTTTCTAATCTACATTTATTTATTTATACCCTGCCTTTTTACAAATGGATTTGAGGAGAAATTAGAAAATTTAAACATGCAGATTGAATTGCCTAATAGCTATATAATGTGTTAACTTAGCTATATAATGTGTTAACTTTCTGTGTATATCCAAAAAGAAAACAGCGTTAATCTAATAGTATCTTTAATGGAGATAACCCTATTCATTTTTCCACTTTTAGCGTGGAAAAATTAACTGAGGTAGCACGTCATCACATTGAAACATCTACAAAAATCCAGAATGAACTTTATTTAGACCAAGAAGACTTCTTCATTAATGGTGATGTAAAAGTCTTTCCAGATCCCCCTCCTCCGGTCCGTCCTCCGCCTGTAGAAAAGGAAGAAAATGGCACCCTGACCATCGAACAGCTTGACAGTCTTCGAGAGCAGTTCTTAAATATAGCACCTAAAGGTAGGAAAAATGATTCTTATGAAAAGAGCCTAAAAAAGGTCAAGATTAACCAGGCTGCCAATCACTTGCGCACAAATAAAATCAGCCCTTTGGGATTATGTGACACTAAAACAAGCCCTTGCTTTGTTCTAGTTTGTCTCATATTTGCTTTATACAACATAGATCCGAATTAAACAAACAGGAGAAAAACAGTGACTAATACTTTATCAGTGTGGTGATCCTCGTTCCTGGTCATTCTCTTCTTCTTCCTCCCCTGCCCCCGGCCAGCAAGTTGGTAAATTTGAGTATCACTCCATCTGGCAATTGAAAGACAGCCTCTGTGAGTACTTCTAGTTTAAGTTTTGAGTTGAGATTATGAGTTTGTGTAGGTGGAAGTGGATTTTGGAAATTATCAACCACTCTTAATCTGTTTCTGAAGGGACCTTGGAATTCATGATAATTGTCTTGGTATGTGCTTGGATCCAACTTCAAAACTAGAGTTTGTATTCTAACTAAAAGTTTAAAAGTAAATAACAAATAGCAGCTATAACTTGACATGTCGTAGAAGATTAACTCTAGAAACCCTTGGGACTGAAAGATGTCAACTGATACAGTTATCTATATTCACAGTATTGTAAAATACAACAGCTTTCAAAATGTAGTAGGAAAAGGAAGGAAAGGAGAAGAAAGGAAAGGAAGAGGGAGAGAGAGAAGGAGGGAGATAGTTACATTAAAAAAAAAAGTAGATGTCAAAGGAAAATCAGAGACTTAGAGTGAAATTTGGAAATGCAGGCAAAAAAAGGAGAAATTATGTCTATTTAGGTTCTTTCTGGAACAGAGTATGAACTTTATGAAAGTGCTCAAGAATGCAAAGCAAAGGAGAATCAGTACTAGGAAACCTGTGGGCATGCGGCATGCATGCGGATGCTCTGGGAGAGGTCAGGAGCCTGCTCTCTGCTTCTCCTTCACCATCTGTATGAGCTGCAGGCAGACAGATGGAGAGGCCTCCTCTGTCTGGGAAACTACCCGTATTTCATATATGCCAAGCAGCCTATGATATCTGAGATGCAAACTTCAAGTTCACCAAAAAAAATATTAAAATAGAATGAACAGATAAAATTTCTCTAGGAAACAAGCATACATATTTGCACATAACAGTCATTATGTTACTAGGCTCACAGTAGGTTTTTTAGCAAATTTACAAGTAGCGTTAGTCATTAAGTTGTACTTTGTAACTTTTAATTGTTACATAAATAAAATTATTGAGGGAAATGAATAATCTTTGATTAAAACAAGTGACTGAATATTTTAAATACTTGTGAGTAGCTACTATCAGGATAGAAGCAGAAAGAGCTAAAACTTAAGGAGCTTTCTGCTGAGCATTAATTAATCCACTTGAAACTTAAAAGTCTTCATTGAAGTAGTTCTTACTAATAATAATGCTGGGGGAAAAAATGACCTCATGTGTGGCAATCGTAGAAGATCACGCAGAATGCAGTGGAACAACTTGTCGCACTGGCATTTTTCTTGCTACCTGGCGAAGACTCATACTTCGGAATCTTAGGAACACTTGAAGTGAGAGACAGCCACTGAATCAGCAAGACATTCTTTCCCTTGGCTGTCCTAGGAATCGTTGTCATGAGCGTACTCCCAGCAGAGGGGATTTAGTGAGTATTTTCTGAATTATAGTAATAGCCGATACTGGCGTGGCGTGAGACCCTATGTATCAAGCCCCATGCTAGCATTTCCATACTAATTCACTTCTTACCCATGGCTAGATGTTACGGTAAAAGGATCCGTCCATGGGTAGGAAGAGGCAGACAGCTCTTTTCAAATCCACCTCTTGTCAAACGACTGTAGTGTGATCTGGGACAAGTTATTTAACCTTTCTCTGTGTCACTTTCCTCATCTGTAAAATGGGGTAATTGTGGGATTGTTATCATCATTAATGTAATTAATATATATCAAGTGCTTAGAAAGTGTCTGGTACATAGAATGTGCAATTTAACATAGGCCATTATCACTTAATTATTAATTACAGTAATATCTTATTATATAATATATAGCATTATATAATATTGGTACAAACTATTCTTATTATTATCCAACATGTTAGCTCAGCATCCTGAAGGTGCACATACCATAATAGCACCTGCAGCATTACCCTAGGACACATCCAGAAAAAAAAAATCACACCATTTGGTAGAATTAAGCCAGGAGGTATGTGGTTCCCTAGGGAACATAAGCATCCAAAACAAAAACACTCATTTTGTGTACTGCTGTAAGCTCTGTAAGGTACATCTCGTCTCCAAACAGCAAGTGCCAAGCGCACCAGGAAGACTGTTTCTCTCCAATGGAAACAATTTGGAGTCTGTAGAAACTAGAACATTTTAGCAATGTTCCTCTGTCCCCACTTAAAGCATAAGGACTCCTTTTTCTTGTAAACCCATCAGTACTCTATGTAATGCCTGTAGAGACAGTTCACAGCTACTTGGGCTTCTGCTGAGAGGCCATATGGAGCGAACACAGTCCAGAGAATTCTGTACCCTCACTCCTTCAAGAGAGAGATAGCAGTTAGTTGGTCAGGACTTGTAACTGACAAGGAGCCTCCCTGCAAACCCCTCCTGAAGACCCTTAGAATCAGTGACCAGTCTCAGAGACAGAGGACACAAACTCAAAACTCTAGGCTGTAGTGGCTAAGTGAGATCATTCAGCTATGGTTTTTACAGGAATATAGAGGAGGAAGTGGCTCTTGCTGCCGGTATGGATCTGCATAGAGGTTAGTCTGTAGGAGACTTTCAGACAGAGCCTTCCAAGAACAGAAGCAGGGGTTGGATATTCCAGGCACAGGGGAAATGGAACAGACATTGAGTTTTTGAGGTGGCACAACATATTCAGGGAACAGCGACAGACCAGCTGTGGCAAGAGGCAGGAGGTGAGGACCATGAAGAAGTTGTGGTCAAGTTGCGAAATCTCAAGTGGCTTACAAAGGACATGCCGGAGAGGGCCGTCGAAGACATTTAGAGCCAAGGGACGTGGAGAGGGGATTAAAGGGAGGAGGCAGCTATGAGAGAGCAGCAGACACTACTCTGTCTCTCAACAAAGCGTCTGCTAACCGAGAGGCAGGAGTAGGGGCACCTCGGTGGTTGCCTGGCAGGAATGACTGGAAAGTTCTGTGGGTTTTTCTAGGCTTAGCATCTCTGAGAAAATCATAAAAGTATGATAGTATATATATTCACAGGTAAGCAAGCCCCGTATTTTGATTTGAAAAGTGATTAAATTAGTCTGGCATTTACACGAATCAAGAAGTACAGAAAGATCTCTTAGAAAAGGGATGATATAAGAAGGATTGATGTTCTCAATATCTTGCCAGGCAGCAAAATCTGGGGATTACAGCAAATAGGAGTGTGGGCTCATGGTTCTCTCAGTGGGCGAACTCCTTCCTGTAGATCAGATTCAGATCACGGAAATGCAAGTAGTAAATCTAGAAGCCTTTGGACTTGGTAAAACTGTCTGTGGGCAGTTCCAGAAGTTTCTTCGGGAAAAAAAAAACAAAAAACATATTCTCATGAAGCCAGAGAATTTACATTAGGCAATTGAATATATGTGCTCAGAATTCAAGATAACATCTTCTGGAAGATTTGTCCATGAAACGAAAAACATCGAAGCTAGCTAAATCAGTAGTGAAACTCAAAGCCCTTTTCTTTAGCAACGAGAGACTTTGTTTTTCATGTGTTCACTCGTGTATTCACCAACACTTATGTGCATTAGAGTAGGCACCTAGACTGATGCCGAAGACCTAGTGAGGGAGACTGACAAGTAACTCAATGTGTAGATAAAAAAAAAAAAAAAAAGGAAGACAGTACGTGCCAACTACAAGGACACTCATTTTAAATGAAAACAGCAATATTTAGGATTCGAGGGAAAAAAAGTGCCCTGTTTTAAGAACAACAACTGCAAAAAGATTGATTAAAAAGCAAAATAGATGTTACATGCAAATAGGGTAAGAAAGTCAGAGGCGAATTGACTAATGTAAACGTTTTCAATTAAAAGATTAAGAGATATGAGATTGAGAAAATCAATGAGCGGCATAGAGAATGTGGTCAGCAGTAGTGTAATGGCTACATGTAGAGCCAGAGGGAAGAGAGAGGAATCAGGGGGATCGTTTCATAAACTACATAAATGTCTAACCAAAGTACTGTATACTTGAAACGGATAATAAAAACAAAATCACTGACTTGTAAAAAAAAAATCAGTTAGGAAAGGAGATTTATTTTCTTAAACATCTACCAAGTTCTTTTCACTCATCTAGGCATTATAAACACACAAGATGTAGGTGTGGTTGGGTCAGAAGAGTTTAAAATCTAGTTGAGGAGTCAGAGCCTAGGATGGTCAGGCAGTGACATAAAATGAAACATGGGGGTGTGTGTCACCATGGGTATTTCAGTATGATATCACACAAACATGTATTTCAATGTTTCATCATACTATAAATTAGGATAATATAATGATCGGCAGTGTCACAAAAGTTGTAGGAGAGAGTTAATTATGTGGTCCAGGCTCTCTGCCTTCAGGGAGGAACTGGTATTTTAGGACTTCGTTGTGTGTAATTTTAATTTTTTTGTCCTTCTATTCAGATAAAAAAAGTATTCTCTTCTTCATCAAATAATTAAATGTGTGTCAAAATTTAAACTTTTGGGGAAAAAGAAAACAATGAGGTGTGAGGCTCAGCAGCTTGACAAAACCACGTGGGATGGGTCTCAGAGCCCAATGCCCTTTATGTAACAAGTTGGCTCTCCCACTGCCAGAGAAGGCGGGACTGAGGCAGGAGGGGAGAGAGGCAAATCTTGCAGACACACTGCCGTGCATGTCCTGTTATTCTTTTTCTCACCAAGGGGAGGAAACGACAGCAAAAAGCAGTGTCCCTCTTATACATGGAGGAATAGACTCTAGAGTGAAGACGATCGTAGCACCCTCTGCCCTTATGAGAAACCTGAAATAATGAAGTATGTAAACATGGGGGCTGTGGAGTAGGACTGCCTGCTAGTGAACCTCGATTCTACCATTTATGAGCACCGTGACATTAAACAAATTAATTACCATATCTGCGCCCTAGATTTTTTACCCATGAAATGGTGATAATAATAATTAGTTCATTTTCTTAACTGTAAAAGAAGGATACTGTATTATGAAGATTAAATTATATAAACCACTTAAAGCACTAACCAGAACACCTGATAAGTAGTAAGTACTCACTATAATTTTTCCAGAAATAATGAGCCAATGCGGGTGGCAGGCATTAAGCAAAACTGAGGGGAGATACTGGTGAATACTTAAAATAACAATATAGAGTTATTTTAAAGGCAGGGATGCTCCAGATGAAGTGAGTCGAGTCACCGAACAGCAGAAAAGGCCATTGAAGCTTGACCATTACCTTCCAAAGAGGAACAATTCGTTTTTGAAAATTTGGCTGAAAAAATACCCGTGGCTTGTATATGACCAGATACTAAATCTTATGTTCTGTGGCCTGTGTCGTAAGCATGGAGTGAAGTCAAGGGGAAATCAAATGAGCTTTTTTTATGGCACTGACACCTTTAGGACTGAATTTCTCAATGCACATCATCTCAGTGAGGCTCATGCCAAGGCATCATTAATGGAAGCGACAAGCGGTTCTCCAGTGAACAGAGCCACCACAGAGTTGATGGTGAGGACCATGAGCAAAGTCACCCTCGGGAGAGTCGAGAACTTATTCAGATCGTGCCATGCTATCGCCAAGACCGGACGTCCCCTCAAAGATTTTATCTGGATGTGCAATCTGGATGACATGAAGGGTGTCGATATTGGCCCAGTATTCAGAACTAATAAATCAGCAAGAACATTTACATATTTTATCGCCGAAGTAGAACGGAGAAATCTGAGAGAGAAACTAGAGAAAAGTAAATTTTTCTCTATTATCAGTGACGGAATCTCAGGCAGCGCAATCGAGGAAGCTGAACTTGTCTATGTGCAGTTTGCACACGCAGGAAGAGTGCATTGCCAAATCGTTGGGGTGCAGACAGTAGAAAAGAAGGATCCTTTGGCAATAAAAAATGCCATTGAGAAGACTCTAGAGAGAAATCTTCAACTCGGGCTGTCGAACCAAGTCTGGGCCAAGAAACTTGTTGGTTTTGGAAGTGATGGTACCCCTGGCTCAGAGGGAGAAAGCGACAGGGTGGCCCTGCTTTTAAGAGAAATCCAGCCATGTGTGCTAACTGTATATTGTTTCGCACATCATCTTGAGTTATCTTACAAGGCGGTGTTCCAGAGCGTTCCCCTGTACAACGATGTCAGAGACCTTCTTCGCGGCATCTATCGCTTCTATCACAATTCTCCTCTTCATAAGAGTTCTCTGATAGCTGCTTTCAAAGGCCTTCACCTTCGCCCTGCAATGCCTTCTCAAGTAGGAGACAGGAGGTGGCTTCTGGGATTACAGGCAGCCCTCCAGAACTTCCTCAAGGGATATCCTGCAATTGTCCAGCAACTGCATTCCGTAAGTAATTTTGAAATACCACCTTATTTTAGTTTTTCAGAAACAAAAAATCATTTTTATCAAGCAACTTGAAATAATAATTTTGAGAAAGACCACTATTCTATTCCCAACCTGTGTTACAGACACATGAAGACAGAAGTGACACCAGTCATCAGAGAGCCAAAGAACTTCTAGAGCCCCTTCTGCAAGCAGACATTGTAAAATTTGTCCATTTCTTGGTGGATGTTATTAATGTGCTCAGCATTCTGTCCCGGGTCAATAGGGACAGAAATTCTTCAATTGCGGACATATTTGCCACCTTAGAGTCAACACTAGAAATGCTCAGGATATATCAGACAAGGTGAGGAGTCGGGGGTGATCCAAGGATCTGTCAAAGAGGCATTTTGACTTGGGAAGTCATTTGCCAGGTGCTTTTCATTTGTTTATTTGGGGGATTTTTTTTTCTCCCCAGACCAGGGCCAAAAGAACGTAGGGTGAATTCAGTCACACACTTTCATGGTAACTGCCTCAGAGGAGAAGGAAACATTTCTGATGTGAGAAACACAGTTTTAACACATCTTACCAAGAGGCTGCAAGGCTGTTTCAGAGATGCCAGCCAAGATGTGGTAAAGGCAACCATGATTGGAAGCTTTAAATTGTGGCCCACAAAGATAAATCAAGGTAGCCTGTATGCACTGACTGAACTACAGTTCTTTGATTGCCTGTATGAGTGTCTTTCAGATATCTGACTTTTCATTTTGTATATCGATGGCAGAATTTGGAGAAAAAGAAGTATCCATCTTGATAGAACATTACGAACCGGTATTGGAAGCTGCCAACGTGCAAATCGATGAACTGGACACTGAATGGAGCATGCTGAAATTAGAGATTTATGCTCAGTAAGCAAAGATAAACTAATTGACATTTATAAATATTTGGGTAAAACTTAGGAGCCCCAATCATTTACTTTCTTCACCTTCCCTCCTAGATTTCAGAACATCCGCAAACTGACCTGGGATTTTGTGAATTCTGTTTACTTGCACAAGTATCCGAATATCCTGACACTAGTGGACCTGGTGCTGACCCTCCCCGCAAGTTCAGCTGAGGCAGGACGTGGCTTCAGTCAGATGCAACGCACCAAGTCACAAACGCATGCCGAGATCAAGGCCGATGGCATGACAGACCTCCTGATCATTCAGTTGAATTCTCCAGATATTAATAACTTTGACCCCAGGAATGCTATCCATTTGTGGAATATGAGAACACCACCTTCAGCTGGTGACACAAGACCTAATTCAGATTGCTCATCATATTCAGAAAGCCATTATGAAAGTGATTAGTAATATGACAAATATTGACTTCCTCACTGATCATAGCAAAAAAAAAAAAAAGATTTTTAAAAACCTAAAATTTAAAAGTAAAACTGTCACCAGTCTTCTCATCAAACACAAAAGGCATCTGGCATGTTCCGGACATACAAAGCAAAAATCCAAAGGTTGATTTTTCCAGTAGCTTTCTAATTTTACTTCTACATTCACACATTCTTTCACATTTTGGCATAGACGTGTATATTTCTAAGTAATGTTGTTATTTAATGTCGTCTTTCTGAGAGTAATTGCTAAGGGTAACCAGACCATGCTTGTGGTCTGAGTTCCTTTAGGCCTGGCACACAATTAACTAGTAATTCTAAATGACGGTTACATTAGAAAATTAACTTGGGGCCGAATTGAAAGAGTTTCTTTTTGATCCGCGAACAAAATTTGTAAGTTTGTCTGTTTCTGTTACCACATTATACGTGAAGATCATATCACTACATGTTTTGGTCACTTAAGTAACAAGGTCAAATATTAGAGTAGTTTTCACATTTCACACTAAGGTCCCCAGGTAAACAAGTCCTATGCAAACGTAAAGCGTTGTCTGACAGTACCTTGCTTGCCCTACAGCTATTAGAGACAGTGGAAATATTTTACAAATCTACCAGAATTTTTAAATACTTTGAGCCTCTTCATGGTTTCAATAGCATTTATTTATGGTTTCATCTTGAAGAACATGAATGTTTTATTTCTAATTTACCTGAAAACCAATGTGGTATCATATATAGATCATTTTATTGAAAATTCTACTACCTTGGAAAGTGTTCTCTCATCGTATAAAATTGGATACCCAGGTTTGATCAAAAAGGATAGAGAACTTATTTCTGAGCAACCTGTCAGATGGCCAATCATATCAAAGAAAGAAATATTCTGCTCTTACTACCCAGAAAATTACCTTCCAAATTTCAAAATTGTATATTTGGTTTGAACCACTGAAATTTTAAAAGTACTATTGCGTGTTCCTAAGGTTAAAAGAGCAGTTTATGTTGGACTTTTAGAAATGCTAAAAATATAGATGTAAAAAGAAAAATTTGAGATGCTACGCCTACATTTTTTACTCTTTCTGTTCCTGAACAAAGAAGGATAGCCATGTACTCTGGACCTGAAAGATCCCCGACACATGACACATGCAGGGTCCCTCCTGGCTCTGGAAGGTACCTCTGCAATGGGAGTGAGATTTTTTTGAAGAAGTTTTATTTACTTTGCTTTTCTATTTCTTTTTAAATGCATGCACATGCAAAACGAAATGAGAAACAGACTGAGCAAAAATCTCTGTTGGACAAGGTAAAGTAGATTAGTGTATTAGAGCAAAGTATTTTATAAAAGATTGCTAATCTTTTATAAAATACTTTGGAATAGTAAGCAAATTAGATTATTAAATTAGCACTTCCAATCTGATAATTTAACAATTCAAATCTCTCTATATTACAAAACACATCTATTCTGATCTAAAGAGTGAAATGAGGATAAATGTGTTACTTTGATCACTGTGCTGATTTGCATGCTTTTGAAGTACCTTTATCCCATGGTCGCTGAAATATTTTATTCTTGTGCCCTACTGATAATAGGAAAGCTTAGAATATTTTTTAAAATTCAACCTATTCTGAGTAAAAGGTCAAAGAAGACTCCAAACTAAAATATAAAGTCTCGGTATTCTGCCCAATCTGGAATGATTTATTACTCAGCCAAAACAAAACAAAACAAACAAACAAACAAACAAACATTTTGACTTAGCCGAGAAACAGTAATGGGAGGGCATTAGATATTATTATTTTTATGTTTTCAAAATGTCTTCTGTTCCTATAAGAGTTATAGCTTTAAATTATATGGATAAAGTGATTATACAAATACTCATTTTCATTCTATTTTGGCAAAAGAAACAAATCCCTCTCACATAACTAAAACACATTTTTTATTGTTTTATAGGCATAATAGGAAATAAAGCATTTACTGACATTCTGCTTGACTTGGTAACGCTGAACCTTGGAACAAGCAACTTTCCCAGTAGTTGGATGCACCTCACTCAACCTGAAGTAAATATCCATTTTGTTTGGGTTTCAAGCTTTGAGAATTCTTATTTTATCAATAAGTCAATAGTTTTAAAATAACCAGTAAGTACTTGCACAGTATCTTACTTTTCGTAGGCAACCAATACAACTTGAATGAATGAACAAATGAACTTTAACTTAAGACACATAGTATGTACATACTCAGTATTTCAAGCATGAGCAGGGATGCTAACAGTCAATGAAACATTATAGAGACAGTGAGGCTCAGCCTATAAGCTTGTATCAATTGCTACCTGATAGAATGACCCTAGCTAGTAATAGTGGATGATTCTGGCAGTTCTCGTTTTTTTTTTTATCATATTCTGTTTCTTAAGAATGTATCAGAAAACAAAGTGGTTAAAGAGTGTTTCCCTCCAGGCAGCAGAGCCCTTGCACGGCCACTGCTATCATCTTTATCCGTCCTTTGTCGAAAAGGTACAAAGCCAGTTGGAGTCACATGTATAAATTCATTGTATAACAGTAAGCAAAAACACAAATGTCAAGGAAGCAAAAGGTGAAACACTTTCTAGGTACTGTCTGGCGTAGATTGGTTAGTAGAACCTGAGGAAACACAAGTCAAAACTGGCTCTATTCACCAATCTAAACTCCTACTTCCTGCCTCTGAACCTCTTATAAGAAGCATGAGCAGATAGAGAGAGCTTCGTGATAGAATCACGCAAATATCCCAAGAGCATGTCTTGTTTTTCTTCTAGTTGCAGGAGTTAACATCTTTATTAACAATAAACTCGGAGTTTGTGGACTGGCGGAAATTCTTGCTAGTATCTTCACTGCCTTGGCCCTTCCCCCTGGAGGAGATGCTCCTGGAGACCCTGCAGAGGTTCAAAGCTGTGGACGAGGAGCAGCTGGGCACCGTCACTTTCGAGCAGTATATGCAGGTTGTTGTCAACACCTACTGGCACTAACACCACCAGACTACTTTTGACCTAAGAAGTAAGATATAACTGGTGACCTTTACCAGAGCAATTGTGAGGGAGCACAGAATCCAGATTGCAGAGGACTGAAGAAATGAATAGGTCTTAGGAAGTAAAGATATGAAAAGCTGATTCATTTTCAAGAAGTTTGAGTAAGGAGGGAGTGAAAGTGGAGTCCCATAACTAAGAAGGGCGTGAATTGCTTATTTTGTGTCTACTAATTGCATTCATCCTATTTCACCATTTCGCATTGCTGGTAAACAGAAGATGGAAATGTTTATAAGGTGTTAATTTTGAAACAGGGTGAGACTCTCTAGAGGCCTGAATCTCAAACATATGTCACCATTGAAAGATCACATCCCTCCTGCTTCTCTTTCTTCCATAATTAATGGGTGGCATGCTTACCTCTGAGGTTCTCACACTCATGCAGTCGAGCCAGAGAAAACAACACTTGCATGTTGAGGAGACTCCGTCAGGGCTGATCAAGAAAGATGCTTAGCTGATTGGGTTCTGATTTATCCCCCCAATAGAGAAATTTATAAATTCTATCACTATCCTGGTCTTACACCTACCTCATTAAGATGATTTTGTGTAAAAACAAAAACGACAGAGAAAGACTTTATTTTTATCGTTGCCTTAAGATTTCAAAAAGTGGGCACTTGTGAAATTACCAACCTTCACTATTTACAGCATGTGCCAATTAACACAGGATATCAATTTAAACATCCTTTTGCACAAACATGAGACGAACAAAGGGTGTTAGCAATTGTTACCAAAGTGCTGAGCCAAAACCAGAAAGCTCCTTTACCAAAAGTGTGAATTTCTTAGAGAAAGTTGGCTGCTGCATTTAATAGAAACTCAGAAGTACTTACTTGAACACCACCACTGTTTTGGGAGCAGTTAATCTCTGAGCTCTGCTCTCTCCTCTTGCCCACCCAATTTCTATACATCAGGAGCCCCAGGACAAGGAGGCCATTGGAGAGGCCCACTCGAACATCCCACATGACTTTCACAGATTTCACAGATTTCCAGCATTCACTGGCTCACATTAAAAAAGAAAGAAAGAAAGAAAGAAAGAGAGAGAGAGAGAGAGAGAGAGAGAGAGAAATAAGAAAGAAAGAAAGAAAGAAAGAAAGAAAGAAAGAAAGAAAGAAAGAAAGAAAGAAAGAAAGAAAGAAAGAAAGAAAGAAAGAAAGAAAGAAAGAGAAAGAAAGAAAAAGTTATTTCATGGGAAAAAAACAAAAAAGCTTCTGGAGCAAAATTTTACAAGATTAATGGAAAATACCACACTAAAACAGTAAAGTAGTATAATTGCATTGCTGAAATGAAGTCCTCTGGGAGAAAAAGGCTCTCTACTCTGCTTTTTATTTTGTCTGTCTGTTTTTTTTTTTCTTTTGACTAATTGCAAGTTCACCACAACAGCCACTTAAGAGTACGCTGATTTCCCCAGCTTCTAAAATGGAATAAGATAGAACGTTTGTGAAGTCGGTCAGGCTGTGTACTTCTTCTGAGCAATGCAAGCATAAAAGCCCATTTGCCCTTTGCTCCCAACTCTGCTGCAGCTGTCACATGCTTGCTTCTGTCATGTGTGGATGTTTAGTCACACTCATGTAGAATTCTTTGATGTCGAACTCTCGACTCATCTTCTATTGGTGAGAATGCATGTTATTATACTCTTAATGAGTCAGATATTCTAGGATTCAAACAGTGAAACATTTATTTTCTAAGAAAAAGTAAAAACTTCTTTAGACATATTTTAGCAAGACAGTACATAGGACATTTCCATAACTTAAGGAGAAATCACCTAACTATCCAGTGAAGCAGGATGTGGTTGACTGAATCTTGCTTTTTCAATTTAAACTCCACTATGCAAGTTCATGGTTAACATTTCTTACTGTAAAAATGTTCATGGATGACTTTTTTAAAATCGCAAGTTGTTTTTCAATTAGGTTATTTTTTTTCTTTGTAATGTGACCCTCTTGTGTAGAATACTTTGAAACAGTTTCCTAGTTTATAAAAACATTTTTAGAAAACTAATATATATGAATCATTGGTTTTAAGAATCAGAAAATTCATGTACATTGAAACAACTGACTGGAGTTGAGAGTTGGTTGAGTAATGGGGGAAAGGGTAGGGATCCTATCTCTGTTTCTTTATACCCCCTCTAACTTTTTTTTGATATTTCTTCTTTATTATTGGTTTTCAGTAGTTTGATTATTGTGTTCCTCAGTGTTGTTTTCTTTTGCTTGAGATTCATTGAGCTTCTTGAATCTGTGGGTTTTTAGTTTTTGTCTAATTTGGAAATTTTTCAGGATTTTTTTTTTCCAAATAATTTTTCTGTACCCTCCGCCTTATCAAAATCCAGTCACATATTTATTATCCCACAGGTCACTGATGCTTGCTTCATTTTTTCCAGTCTTTTTTCTCTCTGTACTTTATTTTGTATTTATTCTATTTCTATGTCTTCAAGTTCACTGATTATTTCCTCTGCAGAGTCAAATTTGCTGTTAATACCATCCAGTGTATTTCTCATTTCAGATATTGTATTTTTTTTATCTCTAGAAGTCCAAGTTGGGTTTTTTAATATTATTCATGTCTCTTCATTATATGCATGTTTTTTCTCCCTCTCCTTGAACAAATGAAATGCATTTAGAACAGCTGAATGAACATACCCTTGTCGATTCATTCTGTTATGTGTCATTTCTGTGTTTGTTTCTATTGATTGATGTTTCTCCTGGCTCTAGGTCATATTTTCTAGCTTTTTTGCATGCCCAGTCTTTATATTGGATGCCAGATATTGTAAACTTTATATTGTTGAGTGTCCATTTTTGAACACTTTAAATATTGTAGGGCATGCAGCAATGTTACTTGGAATCAGTTTTATCCTCTCAAGGTTACATACGGTAAGATTTGTAAGGGTGGGTCTCGTGCAGCCTTTAGTATAGGGCTAATCAGGCCCCACAGCTAAGGCAATATCTTCCTGGGGGCTTTACTCAATGCCTCGCATATTAGGAGGGCCATCCACTCCACCTAGTGGTAACACGACCTACTCCCAGGCCTCTGTGAGCATCAGGAATTGCTCAGCTTACTCCTTTACTGTGCTTTATTCTCCAACTTCTAGTATTTTACACACACACACCCCCATGCTCACACCCATGCCCACATTCATTCATATGCTCTGTCTCTCTCTCTCTCTCTCTCTCTCTCGCGCGCGCGCTCTCTCTCACGCGCTCTCTCTCTCTCTCTCGCGCGCTCTCTCTCTCTCTCTCTCTCTCTCTCATATTCCGCCCTGAAAATTCTAGCTGTCATGGCCTCCTTCAACTCCAAAACCTGTCATGAAGCTCCTCTGGGCTGGAACACTGCTCAGGATCCTCTTGCTTTCCTTCTTTCAGGAACTCCTGTCCTGCGTTGCCTGTTGTCTAATGTCTGAAAAAACATGTTTCATATACGTTGCCCATTTTTCTTGTTCTTTAAGACAGGAGGGCAATCCTGAACTTTGTTACTCCATCACATCCCAAAGCTTAAATATTACCTATGCTCCTCATTCCTCATCTCTCTATTCTTCCACGGAGTGGTACTTACCCTCAGATTAGTCACTGGGCAAGAGTCGCCTCCTGATCAGTGCTAAAGCCCTTACACTCAAAGCCTGGGCCCATGCTGAACCTTCTGCTGCTTCTGGGTCTTCTCCTTCACAGGCTTCCTTATGGCCAACATCTCCCACCCCAGCACTTTCTTCCAAATGAAAATAAAACCCAGTCTTCACCTCTGGGGGCTGCAAACCATTACAAGTTAGCCAGTGTCATTCCAGCCTTTTCTCAAAGCACAGGTGGTGCTTAGAAACAAGGAAGGCATAGGGCATAGGCCAGAGTCAGGTTAAGCAAGCCAATAGCTCTTAGAAGCAGGCAGTGCTGAGAGTAGGTTGTTGTTCTGGAAGGTGGTAAGGGAGCAAGATCTGGAAACAAAATGCTTATGTATATTAAGTGCATAAAATTTTATGTATAAAAATTAAACTTGGCAAGACACATTCTTTGAAATTAAAGAATTTATGCCTGATATTCAACAGCAAGCATGGACGGCAACACCCAAAGGAATGGACTAAATGCTAAATGTGTGGCATGACAAACAGGTCAAATTATAGTTCAGAGGAGAGATCAAGGAGGCCCGACCTGAGGAGGTGTGATCTGAGCCAGGTCTGGGAAGATGTGTAGATTTACACGTGTGGACAGGAAGTCACCTCAGGTAGCAAAAGAGCAAGAGTGAAAAACGGTCTGAGCAGAGACTGATTTGACAGAATTAAAGTTTTGAAAAGATTGATTTAGTTGCATGGTATAAGCCGAAATAAGAGGGATACTGGAAACAATGGCCCCGAAATTACTGGAGTGGCCTGTGTCAGAGAAGTGAGGCTCTACACCACCGTGGCAGCAATGGGAACGGAAGGAAGGGAGAGATGGGCAAGGCGTGGCCAATGGGAATTGAGGGATTTGGTAATGGCTGTCAGATATGAGATGAGAAAGCGGCATGTCATTGAAAAGTAGACCTTTGAGCTCTTGAGTCAGTGAGTCAGTCACTCACCAAAGATTTTCCAGCAATGCGCACCAGCACCATCCTAGGCTCTGAGAACAGATAGGACTTCTGGAATGTGAGCTACAGTTATGGGTGTAGAACCCTCCAAAATATTGCTCTACAAGCAAAATCTAGGGCAGTGACCCCCAAGTTTCATCACCTATTCCAACAATTAAAATATAGCTAGAATCCCTAATATGTGGATTTTCATTTATAAATTATACATGCATACTGCACGAATACGTTATATACATTTCCAAATTTTTAAAAATAAAAACTACAAAATAATCAGATCAAAATACATGTAAATGGAAGCTCTAGTATTTCATTTGCATTCCCGTGGTTTCTGCAGACAGCTTTGGAGGCTACTGCTTTAGACATCTGTACAAGACGGGTTCAATCTCTGTGTCTTTTAGAGGACTGATTATATCTCAGCATAATACACAACTGTTTTTCATTTCTGGTTTTTCTTTCTTTCTTTTTTTTTTTTGTATAGGCTGGTCTGTGGTTTACGGGAGATGAAGATATAAAAATTCCAGAAAATCCTCTTGAACCCTTGCCATTCAATAGGCAGGAGCATCTTATAGAGGTAATTACTGAGATCTTTAAAAATTTTAGTACTATAACAGTGACCAATCTCTTTACCTTTCTTCCACTTGTGTAATTTGTTTTGCATACCAGTCCCACCCTCCAGTTCCTTTGCTGCATCCCCAAAGTACAGACATTAACACTCGCTAACGCAGAAGCATGGAGGAGCTCTGGGGAGGAAGGCAGGCCTGAAGTCTTAGACAGAATCCTACTATGACTGTTTGTATGATCTTGGACAATTTCCATAACCTCTCTGGGTTTACTCTTCTTATCTGTCAAATCAACTGTTACCACATTTGCCTCTAAGTGTCCTTCTAATTCTAAAAGCTTAGGATCAGAACTGTCATTTACCAATATGTATTTTGTTCATTTCTGTTTGATTTTGACTAACTTGTACGACATATCAAGGGTTTATATACAGTATTGCCCATTGCCCATCAGATTATTACTATTATAAAAATGTTATTATCAAAAGTAATTATTGATAATATTGATTGTTGAATTTCCAGCCAACCATTAGTCCAGAATTGCAGTACAAAATTGAATATGACTCCAGTTATAAACTTAGAGTGCACAATTTCCTTCAATTGGATACATATTTTTTGAGCACCTCTGCTAGATGCTAGTAGTGGAGCAGGTAAGAAAAAGAAGTCAAAGAATTTCTCAAAAAAGTCCAAGATATGAGGGTGGCAGTTGCAGAGGCAGTTTTGTTTTGTTTGTTGTTGGTTTTTTCACAATGTGAAACTTAAGGACTAAGATCTGTTCTCCCATAAAGCTTTGGGAGACCATCTCTACATGATTTTGTGAACAAATCTGCCAACAGCATAAATAGGTTCTTCATTACTTGGGAAGAAACTGGCAGGCTGAATAGCACTTTCCTTTCCAGCCAGAAGTTTTTAGAAATGTTAGCAGCAAAAGCCATAAGGCCCATGGTGCTGGTCATCTCTGGGAAAGAGGAAAGGGCCTCTGGGTACCAATGAAGGGAGTGGCTTCCACCTGCTACTGCCCACACTGCTGAAAAATGACATGGAGGAAAGGAACAAAGTTGGGAGCTGAGGCAGGGCCACGAAGCTTGAGAAAGAAGTGCTCTTATGTGGCAAAAACTGGCTGACAGTTTGTGTGTGTGTGTGTGTGTGTGTGTGTGTGTGTGTGTGTGTGTGCGTGCGTGCATGTAATGTCTAGAGGACAGAAGAATAAAAAGGAATGCTTTCCATCTATCTCCGCCTCGGGGACTGGATGTTCAGCATTACATTAATCTCAATGCTCTTAAACTGGGATTAAAAGCACAGGTAGATTCCACTGCTGACAAGCTGCAAGGTCTTGATGGAGTTACCTAATATCTCTGTGGCATGGTTTATTTTAACCCCTCTCTGGCAGCATTGCTGTGGAGAGTGAGTGACTGGCCCTATATAAGTGTTAGCTAAACAGAAGCTAACCACGCTAACCATACGTGGTTAAAGAATGGTTAATGGTCAGCTTACTAAAGAAAGGGGTGCAAAGAGAAAACATAAAGCAAGCTTACTTCTTTGGCTGTAATAAGAGAGGAAAGACTGAATCGGGTGGGGAAAATGCCCCATAAAGTGGGAATTCTGAAGGTCAGAACCCCTGGGCTTTGTTCCCAGTTCTGTCATGACTCACCTAGGGCCTTGAGCCGGTCTCTTCACCTCCCAGGGCCTCCGTATCCTCTCAAGGAGAGAGCTTGGGCTGCAATCCAGAGTCCTACCAGCTCCCCGACTTTGTCATTTGTACTCTCCATGATCCAAGGCCTGCCTCAAGCCACAGCCAGCAGGGACTCCTGGAGACAGGCCATGATCACTGTCCATGGCCTTGGATGACATCAGAGTCCCAGGCATTGAATAAAAGGCCCAGCTGCATTAAAAACAAACAAACAAACACCTTGAGACATGTCTGTTGTGCAATCGTATTATAATCCTCTGACAGTGACAATGTACTTTCTAATGACTGACAAGATTCAGCAGGCCGTCTACTGGCTTCCCAGCTTTCCACACGCTCAACACCCAGAGCAGCTATTCCAGCATTTTAAAAATCTGTAGCGATTTCTTGAGAAAATACAACTGAATTTTGCTACGTTCAAATTCACAGGTATTGTTTTCATGTCTCCACAGCTGCTGTCCCTGTGAAATCCTTCCCTTACTTTAGGCTGTCAATATTTGTTGAAGCCTGGCTCATGGTTTGAAGAACTAGCTGTTTACTAACAAACCCCAAATGTCTATTCCCGCCCCAAATCTCTCTTTCAAATGTTAGACTCCTAGATGCAACTGCCTATGCGACATCTCCACTTGAATGTTCTAGAAGACATCTCAAAGTACCCGTATCCAAAACTAAGTGCCTGATCATCCATCCCGCTGCCCCACCATTCCCATCTTCACCTACAGCTCACCATTTTAGCCAGTGGCAACTCTGTCCTTCCAGGGTTTATGCCCAAACCCTAGGAATCCCTCAAGAAATCCTAGTAGTTCTACCTTCGGAATATATTCAGGATAAGACCACTTTTTCCAAGTCAACTTCACCTGGATGACTGCAACAGCCTCATGATAACTTCCATGTTTCTCCCTCATCTTGGCTCAGATTACAGGCAGATCATGGCAGCCTCTACTTAAGCCATCCCACAGCTCTGCCTTTTACTCAGAGGAATAGCTCAAGTCCTAAAGAAGCCAACCTGGCCTTGCATCTTCTGACTCTTCTTTTTCCTCTCTCGCCTCATCTCCTGTTATTCTGCCCACTGCCTCAGCCACACTGGCCTAGTCCTTGTTGATCAAACATGCGAGGTGTAGTCCCCGCTTAGGATATTGGCCTCAGTGGCTCCCTCTGCCCATAATACTCTTAACTGAGATGTCCTGACTCCCTGCCCTCCTCCAAATCTTTGTTCAAATTTCACTTTCTCAATTTTGCAATCTGCACCCCGCCCCCGGAGTCTTGACTCCCAATCCTCTCTTTTTTTTGGCCTGCTTTATTCTGTATTTCTATAATCACTAATTTACTTAATTTCCTTTGTTTTCTTCTATTGTCCATCTCCTGCTTCTAAAAAATAAGCTCTTCAAGAGTAGACATCTTTATCTCTTTCCTTGTGAATATACTTTAAGCACTGAAAAGAGTCCATGCCTAGCACATCATAGGTGCTCAAATGAGTACTTGTCAATACCGTTATTATCTCACAATTTCTGTAAGTCAGGCATGGCTTAGCTAGGTTCTCTGCTCAGGGTCTCTCAAGGCTGAAATCAAGATGTCAATGGGGTTACAATCTCATCTGAGGCCAATTTCAAGATCGTTTCCAAAAATGGCTTCCAAGATGAATTATTGGCAGAATTCAGATCCATGCAATTGCAGGATTGAGACCTTCACCTTCAAGAGGCTACCCACTATTCCCTGCCACATGGCCCCCTCCACAACCTGACAGTTTGCTTCTTCCCAGACACAGAAGAGCATATCTATGGCTTCAAATCTCTCCCTTAGACCTAGGTTCTGTTTTAAAGGGCTCATCTTTTTAGGTTAAACCCAAGGTTAGGCTCCTTTTTGATTAAATCAACTGATTAAAGACCTTAATTGTATCTGCAGACTCCCTTTACATTTGCCATATAAAGTAACCTACTCATGGAAATGACTTTCCCATCATATCCCATCACAAGTTCCACCCACACTCACGGGGAAGGAATTATACAGGATATGTACTCCAAGGGTGGGACTCTTAGAAGCCTTCTTAGAATTCTGCCTACTACAATATTTGAAATGATCTTGAGAGCATAGCAAGCCTTGCCCTTTGGAAATGTCCAATCCATTGATTTAAAATTAAACCTATATAATTACAGAAAGTGTCCACATATCAACTTATTTTATTTTCACACATCTTCCTTCAATAGATCATATTCACCTTTTTTGTTAAGAGCAATAATGATGAGTTGTACCTACATAGCGTTTATCAGAGCAATTCAATAGAAATACCACTGAAGGTCAATGATTAATATGAAAGAAATGGAAGATAAGCACTCAAGGACAATGCCATGGTCATCTGTTAGTGTCAGTATCCCTACTGCTCTTAGTCTTGCTGGAAATCCCTGAAGCAACTCAAAGGCAAGTGAGAAGACAAAGAAAATGCAAGGTCCTGGACAAACCCAACAGCTGGATCATGATTCCTGAAAAATCTAAGAATGCCTTAACATCAGGGAGTGTTTCTAACGTCTCAGCCTACCTATGTGCCTGGCTTACAGCAGACACTCAGTAAACACTTGATGAAAGTGTGGCTGATCCTATTGACTTTTATGATTCTTTTCTGCTTTGTAGCATAACAGATTTTACGCATTTCCGTATGGAAGTTATTTTTATTTAAATTTTCATTAGATTTGTCAAACATCAGAAATTTATTTTTCCAAACTCATGTATGTCTAACTAAATTTGCTCTTAGCTGTAAGTATTGTTGATACTAGAGAATAACATGTTATCTCTGGATCGAGACACTTGCTTCTCAAAGTGTAAGCCAGGACCAGCAGCAGTGGAATCACCTAGAGCTTGCTAAACATGCAGAATCTAACTCTGCTCCAGAACCATCTGCTTAACTAGAATTTGCATTTTTTTTTTTTTAGGAGAGGTAACGTTTGGTTGACCTCACAGATTGCAAGAATCTCACAGATTACAATCCCTTATTTATTTTTTTTTTTACACCTGGTCTTCCTAGGTCATCTCCCATCCAAGTACTAACCAGGCCCGACCCTGCTTAGCTTCCAAGATCAGACAGGATCAGGCTTGTTCAGGATGGCATGGCCATAGACAGAATGTGCATTTTTAAAAGATTCTCCAGGTCATTGTAAGCACATGTTGGAAAAAAGTCAGTCGCTGCTCCAAATAGGGCCGCATAGGTGCTTAAGTGTATCCTGTGCATCCCAGGGTTTGGACTTGGCTTTGGAGGGTATTAGGTTTCCAAGGACTAACTCTTCGTGCTGCCAAATGCACAGAGCTGACTGTCAGCTCAGTCCTTAGAATGAGAGAGACTTGCCAAATGAACTGATACTCACTGGTTAGCGCACTCTCACCCTGGAGGTGAGCCCACGCTGGAAGAAGTCATGTTACTGTCCATAGATTAAGTATGAAGTTCAGAGCAAAGTGGGTCAGTTTAAGGATTTTAATGGCTAGAGCCCTACTGTTCTCTCCCCTTCCCCACACTCCCCACAGAGAGGAATGTACAGAAGTTTCACATTTAGGAATCAGAGCCTAGTTGGTCAGGATGGGACTGAAGATGGACAAATGGGTCCTTGCTCCTGCGGCTCCCTTTTCCTGCCTACCACGTAGCCCCTGCCACCTTAATTAGTGCATTCTTTCCTAAATATGTTGGCACTATTGAATAGCATGCAATTTCCTTTAACATGAGAATCTTTGAGCCCTACTTTTTAATTCTTTTTATGTGGCAGTTTTTCTTCAGGCTATTTGCTGACTGTGAGAAGGACCCACCCCAGCTTGACTACACAGAGATGCTGCTTTATTTTGCTTGCCATCCGGATCCTGTGGAAGGGGTCTACAGGGCCCTCAGTGTGGCCGTGGGGACTCATATCTTCCAACCAATTGGAACGCCTAACCTTACTGCAGAAGAGGTAATTGCGTTCCAGAAATGAACTAACATTTGGGTCTGGAGGGGGATGCCAGAAGATCCTAAATTTCCACAACGGAGATTCTGTTCTTTTTATCTCTGTATTTTCCGAGTACCTGACACAATGCTTTATATACATGAGGTCTACAATAAAGTCTTACTCAATTGGATTAGGAACTGGGGACCCACTGTCCCCCCCAAAAATGCTTTTATAGTGAGACCAAAAATTTGCTCAAAGTTTCAAAGTTTACTCTGTAAAGGGCAGCCTTTCTTTTGCATGAAGTACTGATCCTGATAAATGAGAAAGACCTGGGCATCAACCCAATGTGCTTGTCGCACTTTATGGAAATTCTGTATAAAACAAGTTTAGGCCTAGGACACATCCCACATATATGCGATACTGATAGTGTTTCTGGCCATACCCCAGCCACCTGAAGGCCACAGGCATTTTGTGTCAGCTGTATCCAAGTCAAAGAAGCTTACTATCTAATAAACCTCACGTTTCCCTTTAGATATCTAAGGGGTTGGCATTCCCCGGCTTTTTCAGGTAGAAAAAAGCCTCAGAACAAGGTACTAACTAATGTATTTTTCAGGTGCCTGTTAGCATGGCTCTCTAGTCTGTCCTGATCTTTTGGGGACAGAGCTGTGGCCCTCGTGATGGAATGCTTTTTTCTGCTCTTCCTATGTGAACTCAGAGAAGAGAGGGTCGCATCCAATCCAAACTCCACAGACATCCCAGCCACACCTCTTTTCCTTTTATACATGTTTGTCAAAATTGAGTATTCTGGGTTCTTTGGGGTTAAAAGAAAAAAAAAGAAAAAGGAAGTTTCTGTGACAGCTTTCTCCTCCAGGAAGAAATAGCCTCTCTTAGAAACAACTCTAAATTTTGGTCTTGGGCAGATGAACAGGAGGCTGTCCTTCTCTGCCATCAGGGCTATCGCGAGGCCAGATGGATGCCAGGCAAATGACAGCCCAGGGCTCTTCAGCCCGATGTGCTGTAGATGCCCCTCAACACTTTACACAGCGACAGAAAGCTCAGCAAGGCACATTTGTTTCCACTCAAGAATGTGTCTTCTTCGACAATAGAAGGAAGGCCAATTTGAATTTCTCCAGGTTAAATAAGGAGTTAGGTACCGTCTGCCTTCACCAGGACTGCATCTGCCACTTTCTCAGGGGTGTTACTGCAACCCCCTATCGACTGGGCCTCCTTGACCTAACTCTGGCATGGATCGTAGCCTGCCATGAGGTCTCGTTTCAATGTCTGTCCTCCACAGGAACTTCCCTGACCTACAGTGGTGTCGGGTCCCCCCTGCCTTATGTTCCCATAGGATGCTGTTCTTCTCCCTTCAGGATATCCCTCACAAGTAACTATTTCTTCAGGGTCAGCTTCCTTTCTGGGTCTAAGCACCCTGTGGGCTGGGACGGGCCCTCTGTCATATTCTGTATTTCTGAACCCACCGCATCTCTGAACCTGAATTACTGGCACAGAGCTCAGTAAATATTTCATTGAGTGGATTAATCAATTGATTAATTAATTGGCTTTGTAAATCACACCCTCTGCATGGTCCTGCTAGGCATACAGAAGAAACCAAGTTTGCTCCCCTGAAGGAGCGCCATCCAGTTTCCCCATCCATGCGGAAAAGAATGAGACAGTGATATCTCAGACCTGGGGGGAACAGAGTACCATGGGGCCTTACCAAGCAAGAGAGGTATTTGTGCCTTTTTCTTTCCCATCTCCCTATCTTTGCTCTTGCTGATTCCTCCATCTGGAGCGACTGTCATCTCATCTTGAAGGGTCTGAGGCCTCCCCCAGTATCTAAGGCCTATTTCAGCTGCCAGATCATTCGTGAAGCTTCCTCTGACACCCCAAAACAACAGTGAGCACTCTCTCAAGTGGACCCCTTTATCATCAGATCCCCTCTGACAAGGCTGAGCACTATCACATGCATACGTGCACGTATTCAACACATAGTTATCCAACACCTCTACGTGCTAGAAACAACCCTTGACCTGGGGGTAGAATAGGTAAAATGCACACTATGTCAAGTGGTAATAAATGCTACAGGAAAAAAAGAATATAGGGATAAATACAAGTGTTGGGGTGGTAGTTTCAGTGTTGAGGAGGGTGGTCACAGAAGGTCCCTCTGTGAAAAGACATAGAAGCACAGGCCTGCAGCAGGTGAGAGGGCCTTGCAGATCTCTGGGGAAAGAGCATGTCAAGTGAAGACAGTAGTACATGCAAAAGCCTTAAAGTGGGGTCACACCTGGTATATTCCCAGGAACAGAGAGTCAGCCATTGTAGTCAGAGAGGAGTGAGCCGGAGGAGTGGTTGGAAAGGGAAGTGAGCGGGAGAGAGCTCAGGGGGCTTCGCAGGACTCGATTCTGCCAAGAGATGAGATGAGGAGTCATGGAAGCGTGGCCATCTGGCTGAAAATGCATGAACTCTCTGGCTGCTGTGTTGAAATCAGACTGTAGAGAAGCAAAGGAGGTGAGAAGGAGAGCTAGTAATTCAGAAAAGGGTGTGTTTATCTATTGAATCCTACTGCTAAGTTATTTTTACTTGAGTTGGGGACAACATGTCACCCCAAACTAGATCCCACATAGCAAGTGTTCAATGAATGTTTGTGAACATGGCAGGAAAGAAGGGAGGAAGAAAGAGAGAGGAAAGAATGGAATCCAGTCTCCAAGGTAGAGTGGAAAGGAGCAGATGTTCCAGACAGAGGCAATAGTAGGATCCAGGAGGCGGCAATGAGCCAGAAAGACCAGGGGAAAAAAAGAAGCACATGCTAGAACTGTTGCCACAGCAACAGACAGCTGCTCTGATGGGTAGCAGCCAAGCCAGCTACTGCAGGATGCTGCATCCCTTCCATCCCTGAATCACTCTTTAGTGTAAGCTAATGCCCCCTCCCAGGAAGCAGCTCCTTGGAGTGCTTCTCTTAAAAGCTCTTTCAGAGCCCAGGGACACTGCATTGGAACTGACCCACAACCACGGCACAATAGAAGGGAACTGGGGGCAGGGGATAGAAAGCACGTGCCACACATCACATGCATTGATCTCTTCTTGGCTTCAAGTGAGCCCTAGGAGCTTTTGACACACAGGGTCCACCCACCTCCCTCATTCTTGTTCTCCCCTAGTCCTGCCATCCTGCCTCCAATTATGCCACTCTGTTTCTGTACCCTTTCCAACTGTATTCTAGTTTCCTGGGCAACCACATCCCAGGAAGCCATAATGAGCCTCCTCAGAAGTAACACCTCCAACAGATTTATATTCACTCCCAAGATATTGAACCAGATCAATCTGTTTTTGCTTTCCACAACAACTGAAAATCTCCCTGATATTTCAGTTTTTCTTACTCACGTTGTTCTAGTCATTGTGGTGCAGACTTGTTTAAATCCACTCCCTGGGTAATTTGAAAGATGTTCAAGAGCAAAGCATTGACGAGTATGCACCAGTCCCAGTGAAAGTTTAAATAAGTTGACATTTAGGAAAATGATTCATTCTGGCCTGTGTGCTGTGGGGTTATGATGTTGGAATTCAGAAAATTGTGAACTTGACTCTCCCACATTTTGAAAGTCTTGTTAAAGCATCTTGGTAGAGCGTCGGAGGCCCTGGGGTTTGAAACACATACGTTTTCATTCCATCTTACTCTCTGACACTTTGCCCACATGAGTTCCATTAGTGACCTGTTCTGCCTGAGATGTGGGACTGAACTAATTGAATGTGGAAATACATGGTCAGGCACCATTCTGGGTACACATTTGTTGGGAGTCCTTGAGGGCTGCCTCTGAGAGTTAGCTGAGTGTGACATGGTGTTCGCTAGTGCCATAATCTGTCCCACTGCTTAGATGATGAAGTGACTCACACAGAGTTTTGATGTCACTAATTGCTCTTTTGGAAGCACTGGCTTTTCTGCAAACTGGGATCTCTGATTTTGATCAAGCACCTACATTCAAACTCATGGTCTTTCCAAGATGTTTGTTGAAGAGAGCCCCCTTCTACTGCACACCCTGCAGTCCCACCAGGATGCTGAGCTGGCTCTTTGGTCCTAATCTCAGCCTCAGTCCCCCCGCCCACCCACTAAATCAGTAATTCTATTCTGTCCCAACTCCCTCAGAGAGCAAGTTAGCAAAAATATAAAAAGCATCCTCTGACGTTAATCTCTTAAGGGTTCTTCACTAAGATTTTAAACGTTTAAATTGTTACCTTTAGCTAAAATAAAAAAATTCATTTATTCGATGGTGCTTATGTTGGGCCTTTGAAAACTTAGTCTCTCTCTAATTATGAAAATGGTACAGAGACCAGGTTACTTCTCTATTTAATTTCGGTATCGCCTGCTCGTCTAACCCAACTAGGCATTCGCTCACCCACTAGTCTGTCTTTATTGTGTCCACACACAGCACCTCTGCTGCACTCTGAATAGAAATTCATTCACTCTTTACTCACTCAGCAAGCTATTTTACATCTCAACTACGTTCATTTCAGTATACTAAATGTTCTTTTGCCCTGGGAAATTACCAATGAGTGGCCAATGTGATGAAACCCAAGCTTCCTACATAGAAACAGAAGGGCCAGTTTTACATTTCTGCCATGTAGCACTTCAATTGTTTAAAATGGAAAAGAGGCTGGATAGATAGATGATAGATAGATAGATAGATAGATAGATAGATAGATAGATAGATAGATAGATAGATGATAGATAGATATAAATAGATGATAGATAGATAATTTATACTTAATTCCAAAATCACCTGACAGAGCATTCCATGCCTCTCTCTCTCTCTCTCTCTCTCTCTCTCTACTCTTTCTCTAAGATTATATTAAATTTCCAATTTACCAAAGGGTATAGAAACACAACCCACACAAACTAGAGAAATTGCAACCTGTCTTCATTACAATGCCTACAGCCCCTACAAATTCCTTGTAGGGACTTACAACTACTAGAGGCCTAATTTTGTGCCACGCCATCCTTATATACATGGGACTTTAGAAAAGAACTTGCATGATCTATTCACTTAATGCTTCTCCTGAATTTAATATTTATAGACATTGGCACTCTTCTCTTTTTTTTAAGCCTGTTAGTATTTTTCCTCCTTGGGGTAAAGGAGAATCAGTGTTCAGGTGTTCTCTGACATCAGGCCAGCCGACATTTTAAAAATCTCCATTTTTCTATAGCAAATCACCAGACATCGATGACCTCATCATCAGAAATACGCAAGCATGCACACATACACACACACACACACATATGCATTCATTACGGTAAATACAGTAAATATAAATCTACTGTAGAGAATTTGGACAGTACAAAACAAAGTAAAAAAAGAGATCACCTGTTCCACTAACAAGAAGTAACCACTGTTAACTCTTTAATGCATTTGTTTCTCTTTTTATTAATAAGTATGCAGATATAAGAAAGTGAGGATCCCAGTTGATTACTTTGTGTTCTGTTTTCTCTTTGCATTTATCCTATGAGTGTTTTCTCACATCACTAGTTATTCTTTAAAACCAAAACACTCATAGCAACATAGTATTCCATCACAGAAATATACTATAGTTTATGTTGCCATTCCCCCATTTTTAGAATCTTAGGCTTTCTGTTTTCTGTAAGTAACACTGAATGAACATTTACATACAAAAGTCTTTGTACATGAATATTTCTTTAGAATCAATTCCTAGATCTATAATTACCGAGTGCAAGAATAGGAATATTTTTCAGGCATTTGATACACAAAAAATTACTTCAGTAATGTGCTCTTTACCATTCTCGAAATGCCTGAGTTCATGGCTCCTGGCCGAGTTCCAAAGAGCTGTAGTAAGAATCCCAACCTGACTTTCTATGTTCAATTTGTTTTCTATTTTCCCTTCTGAATGTTTAATCAGGTTTAACTTCCGGTATCCAAACCTATGTTCCTGAAGCACCTAGAATCTATCAAGCTTGAGAAATGAACTTGCCATAACCTCTTGTCCACAGTCAATTTCTAAATAAAATCCTATTAAAAATCTACAGCAATATGAAGAAGTCTGACATAAGCTACATGAATCCCTTCCAGTGTCCATTTATTGAGGAATAAGCCAAAGCATGTTTAGAGATGAATAAGACACATTCTACACTGAGGCCTCTAAACTACCAGCAGAATTGGTCTAGGATTTTTACGTGATTTCCAGCTCAGCAAGCATATTCTCTCCTGGACTTCATTTAGCTAGTTTCCAGCGAGGCACCATCATTCTATTGCATGAAAAAGTATATGACAAAACTGTTGTTTTCTAAATGACTCTGTTACTGGGAAGACTTAAGTCTGATTTCATGTTCTCTTCATGTAATCGTACAGACCTACTCCTTTACCAATATAAGTCCAATTGAAGACTATCCTGAACCCGAGGAAAATTTTATGAGTGAGGAAAGGGAACTAAGAGAGGAAAGGGAGGAAAAGGAAGAAGAAATTCCTGAAAATGCCAACACGGAAAAGATTTCCATGGAAACACTGTTGAAAGTATTCCGAGGAGGAAACGAAGCACAGGACGCTCACAGATTTGCCAGCCACCTAAAGACAGGAAACATTTATTCAGAGGTGGGTTAGATTATGTTGTAAAAGGGGCAGGCTAGACAGAAGAAATTTGCCCCCAATTTTGAACATATTTTTATGGAATTTCTTTATGAAGTAAAACCATTTTTTAACACCTTCAATTTTGTAAAGTTAATTAACTCTTTTTTCTTCTTCTTCTTTAAAGAACTTCACAAAAGTATTTCAGGATCTTGGTGCCAAGAACCTGGAGCCCATTGAAGTTGCTGTTCTTCTGAAGCATCCTTTTATTCAAGATCTGATTGCAAGTTATCCAGACTATAAAATTCCTGTGAGTATTATCCAAAGGCATCTTAATTTGGCTGAGCTCAGGTTCAGGGCATGGTGGGACATTTCAAAAGTGGACTAGCAGGAAGGGGACTAGCAGACGTGGCCAGAGCAGGATCTGGGGCAGCTAAGCTCGTAGTAGCATCAGGCCAGACAGGCCAGCCCACGTACTGAAGGGCAGCAAGGCCCGGCACAGAGGAGATCGCTGTAAGCACTAGTGACAGCACCTTCAGCACTATGCGGCCACCTCATCAGGACTATGGGGACACCTTGGGGATACAAGAAGGCTGGAGGTAGATGAGAGTGAAAGCCCGGGGGATGGCAGGATTAGTGTCCTGGAGCATTCCAGCCAATGACCCTAGCCCGTGATTGAAGAGTATGGAGAATACAACCTGCCTTGCCAAAGAGAACTAAGGAGACCACAATCTCCAGCCAAGGGCTACGCACTCACGGTTCACATTGCCCACAAAGTGTATGGGGTGACAGTGCCTAGGAAAGATTGGATGCCAGTTCCATCAGGGAAATAGTACTCAAGAAGGGGAAACTGAGGACAAAACCCAAGGAGACCAGACCCACCCAGCGGAGGAAGGAAGGATGAAAGGAAGAACTGTCCGCTCCGAGCTCACACAATAACCAAGCAGGTTTCAACTCCACGTTCTGAATTAGCCTCACCGTGACAAGGCCCAGGTCTCCAACAGCAAGGGCTAAGGGAGGTAGAGGCTGACCCCCTTTCCGAGTGTGGCAAGATGCTTTAATCCTCTCACAACCAGTTTGACAGCGTGAAGTCCCCCTATTTGGCTCCTGCTAGTTATTTATTTGACTAAAAAGTCTGCCAAGTTTCAGATAAAAACACTTCCACTTTGATAAAATACAGGTGGTATAATGCATTTCTCCTGACTTCTCAGTGATAACTCCTTATACCCAGAAATGAAACTATCCAGATTTAAATATCTTTGCACCTAAATCTATTTTTTCTACATTGCTGATCCTTTTTAATACATATTTTATCACCTATGTTAGTAATAATTAAAATTCATTTCTAACAAGCGAGCAGACCCTAAGCACATCTAGCAGTAAAGTGTGATTATAGCATTTAAGTCCACAGGCTGTGGAATCAGAAAGTCATGGGACTGAACCTCTGGTCCACCACGCAGTAGATACCTGACCTTAACTTTCTCTTGATCCTGGCTTTCTCACCTGTTAAATGGGGATAATAGCCATTCCTACTTAAAGGGTCGTAGCAAGGATTAAATGAGATTGTGCATCTAAAGCACTTGGCATGGTATCTGACACACGGCAAGAATGACAGAAATGATGGCTGTTACGATTACTGTTTGGTACGAAGCACTTAGTCCTGAGGCCAGTAATATAGGATCCATGGAGGAGAGAATAATGAGGATAAAACTCAGTTGCAGCTCTCAAGCAGTCCACTTCCGTTCCCAAGAGAAGTTTTACCTGCAAGACTACAGGAGAGTGATATAAGGTAAACCACTCAAGCACAAAATTATAGAAATTCAAAAAATAGGACCTTTTTTGTGTGTATAGGCCAGCAGCTGAGTCTTTAAGGATGGCCAGGGTTTGGGAAAGTGAAGGAAGAGGAGAGGACATCTCTGTGGATTTTGCTGTTGAAGTGGAGAGGAGGCAGCATCCTAGCAGCAAGGACAGATTGGTAAAGGTGCCCAACCCCCAGGCCACGAGCAGTACCAGTCCATGGCCTGTTAGGAACCAGGCCACACAGCAGGAGGTGGGCAGCAGGCCAGCGAGCAAAGCTTCGTCTGTATTTGCAGCCGCTTCCCAGCGCTAGTATCGCCACCTCGGCTCCACTCAGATCATGAGGCATTAGATTCTCAAAGGAGCACCGGTCCCTGGTGCCAAAATGTTTGGGGACCGTTGGTAGAAGCAGGACTGCAGGGAAGCAGCAGGACCCTGACCGGCTGAAGAGCAGTCTGTGATCTGATCATATTGGTAAAATCAGGCCAGATTGCAAAGGACCCAGATGTCACCCAGGGAAATTTGGATTTGATTTGAAAAGCAAGGGAGAATGGATAGGTTTCTGAACAGGGGTGTGAAATGGTATTAATTTCTTTGCCCCTACGTGTTTCTTTGTCTTTTAACCATATCACATCATTATATCCCTATATTTAACAGGGAAGCTGTTTTTAAAATTATTTGTGTCTCATTATTTAAATAGGTCTGAAATATTTAGAACACGGTTGGCAGTTATTCCAAGCTGTTGTATTCATACATTCAGCCATGTACTGTGTGCACTGAAACTAGGATGTCCCCTGTCCCTTTGCAGCATCTTATACTTCATTGCTTTCAGTAAGATGAGGAGGGCATAAGTCAGAGTTACTGGGGACAGAGCACATCAGAATGAGACAACAGGGTGGAGAGAGGCAGGTGGGTCGGTGTCACAGGCAGGATGGGGGAGAGTCACCACCCGTGGGGATCTGCCCCCCTTCTGCTTTCCTCTTGGCAAACGCCATTTTGCATAAGCTGGGTTCCAGAGGTCCACCACTTAGACTGTCTTTCATCCTACATGTTTTGTTCCACATTTCAAGGGACAGCCCTCTTATTCTGAACCATTAAAATAACTTTCAAAATCCCTTAGCATTATGGATAATAGTATTTATCTTATGTTGAAAAGAACAAGTAGGAGCATAAAATTACACCACAATTATTTTCTCCCCTAATGGAAGAAAAACTCCCTACACAATTTGGAATTATCCTTACTCTGGCTAGAGTGACTGAATATGATTAACTACTTGCAGAGAAGATTTTATTTGTCATTTTCCTGAGAAAAGAAAACAGCCAACAGATGACTGCTTTTGAGAGCCAGCCCCCGACCCCCAAAGAGGTATTCTGACTTCGTTCATTCTGGAAGGAGTTTCACCAGCTTGCAGTGCACCTCAGCTGAAATCCTACCGGCATTTTGGACAGCACGTTCCTCTCCGTGAAGGTCTGTCTCCAGTGCGGCAGGATAGCTAACATTCTGGGCCGCTGCCCGCTATGTTCCAGGAGCACCTTGATAACACTGACCACCGAAACCCACTCTGCACATTCTCTGATTTCCCCTGGTACACAAGACCCCTTAGGCTGAGCGGGGGAAGGCGGGGGTCTGACCTTCCGTGAAGCAGTTTCACAGAGCCAGCATGGCCTGACGCTTGAACGGCAGAAAGAGCGTTAGTCTGTCTGCCACTCAGTCAGTCAGCTCGGTCTAGTTCCTTCACTGCCAGAGGGCTTCTGCTGAGTCGGCGTCTTCTCCTCGTCTGTCCCATCTCCTCCCTATTGCTCACAGAGGAATCTAATGAAAGGCAGTGGACCACCCTCATCGGAGCTCATTCATATGATTACGAATCAAGGAGAGTCGAGCTTACAACCTGAAAAGCCTGAATTCTGATACTCTAAAATGAAAGAGGTTCCCCTTCCACTGAGATGCTTTCTTTTCATTTTCACTAAGCAAAAAAGAAAAAAGAAAGAGAAAGAAAAGAGGAACAAAGGAAAGAAAGGAAGGGAAGGGAAGGGAAGGGGAGAGGAGAGGAGGAAGGAAGAAAAGAAGGAAAGAAAGAAAGAAAGAGAGAGAGAGAGAGAGAGAGAGGAGAAAGAGAGAAAGAAAGAAGAAAGAAAAAGAAAGAAAAAGATCTCTGAAGATGCAGGTACTATTGCACTCATCTTGTCATCATTTTTTGCTCCAGATATCCATGTACAAGTAAATAGATCACATTTTAAAATGAACTTTAACCACAGTGATGTTATTTAAAGATCTTTCAAGATAAGTAGAGCAAAAGCTAGAGTGCGGTTTTTCAGGTTAAAATGTTGTTTGCTGTCATAAACAGTGGGAAGTAAATGTTGTTGCCCAACAGAGCTGTTAGGCAACAGCTGTTTGCGAAGTTTGAATTTGGAAGCAGCAACATTTTAAAAATACAGATTTGAAAGAGCTGAGTATGCATATTTATTCTGATATTTTTATTTTTGCTCCCATGAGGGGGCAGGTCTGGCGTGTGGTTAGGCGAGCCGGCTCGGGAGCCACACTCATTGCAGTCACACCTACCAATGGTGTGTCTTTGGGCAAGCGACCTCACGGTGCCTTGGTTTCCCCATCAGTAAAATAGGGTTAGTTATCATAAATACTTCACAGTGTCCTTATATAGAGTAAAGGACTTAATACGTATCAAGTGCTTGGCAGAAATAACTCAATACACGTTAAGACATTATTATTATTACTATTGTTCCTGGTCTGTTAGTTGCGGTACACAGAAAACATTTCTGAGCTATGTAAAACTATATGTGGATGAACTAATAAGCTGACATGTCATTGCTTGAGTGTAGCATCCGCTCTTGGAAAGAAAGACAGCTTTCACCGATGCAGTACCACGGTGACAAAAGGTATAAGTTGAAGCCCCAGGAAGCCCCATGTGGTCAATACCTATGTGGAAAATTCAGATTTTATGTTGCATTTTATAGTTATTCAATTAAAGTCACTTGTTTAACTTCAGTTTTCATAGACCTTATACCAAGAGGTTATTTTCAAATAATATTCCTAAATTATTAAGAAAACACTTTGGTTAAATGTAGCAAGATCGATGAGAATACTGTACCTGGGTTATTAGTGACTAAAATCAATTAATCTCCTATGACAAATGTATTTACAAATGCAAACGAACGCACGATTTTCTACACCAGCCTAAGAAACGTAGTTTCTTACAACGAACACATTCTGAGCAAATGTAAATTTCTTTTAACAAACCAATAAATTGAGCATATATCCTCAAAATTAAGGTTTCCACTCAATAGGAGATAGAAACAAATCTTTTGATGTTAAAATCAGAATGTCACAGGAGAATTTCTGTAAGAACCCAATTAAATGAGGACAAAATACCTATAAATGTGAGCGTGACTTGAAGACACTTTTATTCCATTTTGTTATCAAGGTATCTCACTTCAAAATATACTCCAACCTTCTCTTTTATCTTTATAACAAAATATGATGGCTGCTTCGGCACTTTGCATTTTCAAAGCACCCATGTCTAACATTTCCAGATGCTTTCAGGCTTTACTCAGTTACCTGCTCCTGAAGATTATGGGCCCTGATTTTGGCTTTAAACTTAGCCAAGTTTGGCTTAAATATCTGGAGTTTATAACTCTCCTCAGACAACCACAGATCAGCTCATGCCTTAATCCCCAAGCTACCAGTCTATATCAGCATTAGCTATTCTAAGTGTATTAGTCAAAGAAGATATGTAATTAAGAGTTGTGGTGGGCAGGACCAGAAAGGTCAATGGTGAGCAGCTGTTCTTTTTCATTTATTTACTCAAGATTAGCCTTTGACTGAAGGAGATCTGAGTTTTCAATGAAAAGGTCCCTCAAGAAAATAATTCACTCTGATTCCTGGCAGTGACTGATATAAGCAATGTGCACGTCACTTGTCAGGGAGCACCTCTGATCATGAATTATGCAAGCATTTGTGAGTAAAATTACCACAGTCACATCAAGACCTTTAGAACTCAGCTCTCAAGAAAAGAAACATATTTTTAAGGTACTTCCCTAGACTTGAGGGGGAAAAAAAACTAGAAAGTGCATTGACATAATTCTACATTTTTTCACATGTGTTTGTACCCCTTCTACATTCTGATGATATTTTAAGTTTATTTTAAAAACATCTATGATTAAAAATGTAAGCTAGCTGGGTATTTTAAGTGGATGGAAAACATCATTCTACCCTGATATTTAAAAAAAAATGGGGAAATTAGTCAATCCCCATTCTCTTAATAATCCGCTGTTCTAAAATTCTACAAATCTGTAGGCGTGATTAAATTGGCATTAGAATTTTCCTTTAATAGGAGGTAAACATTGTCTTTTATTAGATAATGGGGAAGTAATATTTTGGTTTGCCCATTTTGTGCCAAATTCTGTGTAGTTGCTTTTACAAGTGTTATTTAATCCAATATGACAATTCTATCATTAGATGAGGAAAAGTGAGCTCCAAGATCTCTGATATCTTTCCAGGGATGCAACTAGTAAGCTGCAGGATTCAAACTAAATAGAGAACAAATTTCTCAAAGGAAAAAAATAAAAACTCGCTTTCTGTTTAATCACTGCCGTGTAGTAGATGATCATTAGTCCTAAATCATTTATAAATATTTGTTACTTCCCTTTGAATCTCTTTTCCTAGGCTATGAAAATAATTCTCCAAAGGAGTAGCATGCACAAGGAAGTGATGGAGAGAGATCTCCTTTAAGACTTCTTGAGGAAAAGAAATAAAGGCAAAAGAATGTGATTTTTATAATTTGGCAATGAATCTTCTAACCATCAAATGTAAACGTGGTGTTTGTCATATATGTTATCATCATTGTAAGTGTGGAAATGACCCCTGCCAGGCTACGAGGAACACTGAAAGGGGGGCTTTCTTTAACTCAAAGAATATTCTGTAATAAATTTAAATTTCAGAGCAAAAATCCAAAGAAGGAATGTATTCTGAAGTGTATCTGTAACTAGAAGGCACTAGAACAATATGTTCAAAAATCAACAGATGAATAATCCCTACGAGAAGTGTCTACGTGACGCAGATGCAACGACAATTCCCCCCAAGCTCCACGTCAGGGCAGTTCTGCGTGTACCTTTAGTAGTTCTTGCTCCACATGCAATAATATTCCAGGGTTCATCTCACTAGCCAAGGAAAAGAATGCATTGTCAACTGCTAGTGCAGCCATGTCGCTATTGTCTATTCATAATTCTTTCATAATAGAATATACTGTTTCCTTTATATACACTTGTATCATTTCAGCTGCATAAATTAATGACTCAAATTCAATGATACTTATCTCAAGAAAGTGTTGTTTTGTTTTTTTTGTTTGTTTGTTTTTGTTTGTTTTGTTTTAAGTGAGTAATAATGTATCTATCCTCAGCGGTTGGGCTCCTATGAAACCCCTCTGAGCCTCCAGAGTTGCTACTCTTTCTGAAGATATCTTGCTGGATCCACCGTTTCTAAATGTTGCTGGATCTCCTTCTAAATGTTGGGAGGCCTGAGCGTTCAGTCTTCTCTACAGCCAGTCCCTGGATGATTCATCCCTTCCCATGATTTTATGGGTATTACAGAGACTAATGCTGAAATTTCTATTCCGTTCTCCAGAAAACCGGACTTCTCTCTTACTGTCCACATGTTTACCACATGGACAGCTCAGAGTCATTGCAAACACATAGCCATTGCAAATCTACAGCCAACGGAGTGAGTCTTTTATAATTCATGTCAGATCGTATCACCCCTCTACTCCAGCCCTCTATTGGTGTCCCATCTCATGCAGAATCTAGTCCAAGTCTTCATCTCGGTCTGCCTCTCTGATCTCATCTCCTGCTATTCTCCCCCTTAACCACTCTGCTTAAGTGGCAAATCCCCTTTATTGATCCTGGAACTTACCAGGCATGCTACTGCCTCAGAGACGTTGCACTTGTTTTTCTCTCTGCCTGGAATTTCTCCCAAATCTCTGCATGGCTTGTCCCCAGACTTCCTTTAGGTCTTCGTTCAAACAACACTGTCAGTACAGCCTTTCCTTAACATAGAACACAAAAGAGAAATAACCCACCACCTCCACATACCTCACCCCCACTTTAATTTTTTTCCATTGCACTTAATGTCTGACAAACTTCATATTTACTCTTTTGCTTGTCTGTCACTCCACCAGGTTGTAAGTTCCATGAAGTGAGGGATTTTGTGTATTTTCTTGATCGCTATGCCCCAGAAGCTAAGACTCAAATCGGAGTCAGCTTTAAATTGTGTCAGTACATTTGTGCAAAATGTATCAAAATATCACATTTAGATTGATCACTAAAATAATGAGCAATCCAGCGACGATTTCTATTATCAGTGGGAATTATATTCTACGTTTAGAGAGTGACGCATCTCCTAAATTTGCTTCTTATGGGCTAAGGTTCACGCAAAGCTTCGTTCCCAGAACTCTTGTCTTCAAGATAATGGAGGATGGTGACCCAGAAGCATGCTTCAGAGATGGAGAAGAAACTCTGCCAGAGATTTCAAACTTTCAGTTGCACAGATTCACATGTAATTCTAGTTATTACTGGATAATTCTAGTTATTCTAGAGAGGGGAACAGAGGAACACAGATGTCCCTTACTTTCTGAAAGTTTACATTACACCACCTACTCTTACGAAACACCTATCTTAGTATGGTAATGGCTGTTTTCAAAAAAGTGAAAATCTTCTGCAATTTCTTTCTCTTCTCTTTCTTCCCCTACGTAGGTCTCTTCTTCCTTCACACCTGACTCTCAATGTCCACTTATTTCAAAGAGCCATTTCCTCCTCTTCAATAAAGACTGATATCTGAGATTAATTCCTGGAGAAAACCTGCAAGGGAATCACCATTTCTTCTAAATCATAGGTCCAGGAGGTATTAGCATGAACTCCTTAAACTAGCTACTTCTAGATCGTTTTCTGCCAACACAGTATTGTCCTCATTGGAAGTTTATGCCAACTTTAGCTACCTTCTCTCCTCCTCATTAAACTCACTGACCAAGGTGTCACCCTCTGTAGCATCACCCACTATTTGCACCACCTCTCCCTCTCTGCCCCCCACCCCACTCCGTGTAACTGCTCTCGCTTTTTTTTTTTTTTTTGCACTAAATATTACCATCTCCTCTAGATATCGCTTTTGTGAGGTGGATTTGAAATCTTTTATCCTAGTTGCTTTCCTCTGGATACCATGTGGTGTTTTACAAGGTTCTTCATGATACCTTCTTGACATCCTTGGGAACGAGATAAACAAATATGGGCTGAATGCAAAGACAAGTGAATTTGTATTGGAGTGAATGTTGGTGGGATGACTTTAGCAAACAGAATATTGATCACATGAATTATTCGTTATCTCTCTTCCTTCACGGACACGTAGCTAGAGGAGATACTGACCATGTCTGTCTAATTCACCTCTGTGATACAAAACATCAATAAATAAATTCAAAGAGAGAGACAGAAGCCAAGCAAATTATAATTATGGTCGACAACATTGGAAGAGATTTGAATTAAATTATGTTTAATAAGAGAAGGAGGACCCAATAACAAGGTTAAGATGTTAATAATGGGTAACAATAGATAATAATAGCTAATATTATTGAGGGTTCAGTATGAGTCAGGTAGTGTGCTGAGAGCTTACAGGCATTATCTCATTCAGTCCTCACAACTTTGTAAAATAGGTACTTTTAAGATTGCCATTTACATGTAATGAAAATGACATTTAGGGAGATTATGTAACCTGTACAAAGTCTCACAGCTGGTAAATGATAGACACAGACTAGGAACTCAATATTAACCCTAAAACTTGGGTACAAATAACCAATCGCACAAGCACAAGATGGAGGACAATATGACTTAGTAATATTTAAAAATAAACGCAAAAGGTTTTGTTCAAAGTAAACTGAATATAATTTGCTGTGTGATGTGACCCCTAAAGAATTCAGTGTCCATAAAGCATTTGCAGTAGTAAGGGAGATGCTGATTTTCCTCTGATCTGCAGTGGTCAGACCTCAGCTGCAACTGTGTGTACAGGTCATGGCCACACGCTTAAATGTATGCACACTTCACATATGCAGAGGAACTGATAAATACATAGATATAGACAGATAGATATAGATATATAGATATAGCTATAGATAGATATAGATAGATATAGATATAGATAGATATAGATTTAGAAGTAAGAGAACTCACTCAGCCAGAGCTGAGTTTTCCCTTAAGCTTCCAACTTAAGGGGAAAAGGAGCCATCTCCAACTATTTGAAAAGCTGTCCAGATGAAGTATCTTGTGTGTGGTCCCCAGGGATGAACCAACCCTAGGGTGGATGTTGCAGCATGACAGATTTGAGCTGATCATGAGAAGCTACAAGCTTCCTGTTGCCAGAAGTATTCTGAGAGAGGCAGGACACCGTGTTTTAGGAGAGTTGGCAGGCATGACGAGAGCGCAGAACTTTACTCCTTTGTCCCGTTCCTACTGCAATTCTATCTCTAATGAATCAGCTTCTCAGCTGTGCCACCCCAACTTCCATCTCCCCAAAAGGCCTATTTGGCTTAGTCGTCGTCATGTGTGGGTCTCACTTTTCCTCAGAGAAGTTTGACTAGGCTTATCCCACTGTTTGAGTACCCCATACTTTCTTGCACTAGAATTTCTACCCGTAGAGACCAATACCGTACTCCAGCCATTTAGCTGTTACCCTGTCCAGGCCAGCCTGTGGTCCCCTGAGGGAAGATCGCAATGGGAACAGAATGGTGCAGATGTTGAGCGGGGCATTTGGCTAGATGACTTTATGGCCCGGTCTCTGGAAAGAGCTTCCCCCCCTAACTTCTCCTCCTGTGGTAATGGCATCACCCACACTTCTCCTGGTCTTCCCCAGGCAAAACTTCAGCTGAGCCCTTGCCACCCCATCCTCTCTCTCCCTTCACACCCAAGTCTTATTGATTGTTCCTTATACACATCTCTCACATCTGTCCTCTCCTTTCAGGTCCCACGGTGTCCACCATCTTTCAAAAGCCCTCAACGTCTTTTTCCTAGACTCTTGCAACAGCCCTCAATTAACCCCACTACTTTCTGTATCGTGTCCCAAATCCTCCATTTTTCTACCCTGACCCAGCCTCCACACTACTCCAAATAATCTTCCCAAAACTCTGCCTAAGCACATCACGTTTTGCTTAAAAACCATCCCTCTGATCTCTTGCTATAAAATAAATTCTACATTTCTTAGAATGCTATTTACAATGTGATTCTATCTTTCCATGCTTATCATCTTTTTCTCACACTCAAGTCCACACAGAGCCACTCAACGCAGCTCCTGGTACTCAGATATTCAATAATTACAGAATGAATTAATGAATGAAGAGGAATGGCTATTCTAGGAGGTAAAGAGAAGCTTTTTATAGTAAAAATGTTTCTATAATATGTCTCTCATGCTAGATATAGAAAACTGATTTAATCTCTTAGAAGTGTGTGTGTGTGTGTGTGTGTGAGAGAGAGAGAGAGAGAGAGAGAGAGAGAGAGAGAGAGAGAGAGAGAGGGGAGAGAGAGAGAGAGTGGGGAGGTAGGTAGAAGGAGGGTCACTTTTTTCCTCTCTAAATGGCTCCTTGCAGCTCTGGAGAAGAGAGCCTGAGTGACATTAGGGTACATCTACTAGAGGCTAACTGACTCATGGAAGCTAATAAAAACCAAGAATTCTATTATAATAAGCTCCTTTGGGGATCTGGA